AATAATTTTATAATAATTAGAACTAATAAACTCACGTCAGAGCAGTAGGAAACGGAGGTATTTCAAAAAACTATTTAAGGAAAAGGAAGACATGAAAGAAATACTATATCAGGGTGAATATTGAAGAGGACAACGACATAGAACTGACAAATAACACGATAGAAAACACCTTAAAGTATCGTTAAAAAATTCCTGGAGTAGATGAAATCAGCAATGAAATAATTACATACGGAATGAAAAAAATACAGAATGAGATATTAACCCTATTTAAAAATATCATAAAATAACAAAAAATACCGAATGAGTAACACAACGATACTCATTTTTAAAAAGGACAAAAGACGCACCCAGGAAAGTATTGAGGAATAGCACTGCTTTTTTCAAGCATTTTCAAAGCTTTCACAAAAATTATACTCTGAGAAATATCCAAAACCATAAGTATACGAGAAGAACAACAAACTTTTCGAAAGAATAGATCCACTATTGACGCAAAATTTGTTGTCAAACAAATGTCCAAAAAATCCCTAGAGTTTAATAAACCTGCGTACATGTGCTTATCGATTTACCAAAAGGTCGAAATGATAGAAGCTAAATAAGTTTCTCGACTCTCTTTGGTTCTAGTTAGCCCATCAAATTGAATCATGAGCATATCAGTTTCTTCTTCTTAATTTAACTTTGTCCTATTACAGTGTGCGGCAAAATTATGGAATAAGTTTAATAAACGCTTATAAACATTATTTTGCAAAAATGGCAAAACAAGTCTGTCGCAAAGTGAATATGGACTCAAAATGTGTGTTTTAAAAAACCAAAATTATGACTTGTTTCGCTGTATTTGTAAAATAGTGTTTTATAAGCGTTTTATTGGATTTATTACATACTTTTGCCGCACACTGTATACTAATATGTACCTATGCATTGCGAGTGGTCTAATAGAGATATGTTTTTACATTATTGTAAAGTCCAGAAATAATAAAACTAATTTTTTATATATTTTTACCAACCAACCAGCAATTATTGTTTTACTAAACACACTGAGCATTTGCAGACGTTAACATAGACTTATTTTATGTAAAACTTATATCCCAATGTCATAAAACAAAAACCATTTTATTCAACAAAAAGCAGTTTAAATATTATGTTTATTAGATGTTTACTGAAGTTTGTATGCAAAATAGCTTTAATCCATCTACACACATCTTCAACTTTTGAAGAGATGTTGCTTCAAAAAGAAATGTAAGTTCAAGCTTAAATTTCTGGGAGTGAGTAATACCTGTGGTAGTGAGTAGTTAGTAATAAATATTCTTGATTTAACTAAAAGTTTTAAATGAATAAAGATGTTTAAAAAATAAATTAACTACTTCCTTCAGTTCCACAGATTTAAAAGGGAGCCAAATGAACTTCAAGTTCTTTTATAGTGATGAAGTTGATAGCAACAACTTACGTAAATTGCAGTAATGATAAATCTTAAGAGGATATTCAAGGGCTTTTCAATTATTTTGAATATGTTGAATCTATAATAATAAATACTCTGTACGGACATTTAACTGAGAAACCATAAAGAACATAAACCACCATACAGAAAAACATAAATGAAAAGTCGTAAAATCTATGTTAACGATGCAGAATGGCAACGCTGATCAATTTTCCGATATTATTTGAAAAGATTATTGGTGAGATTTTCTTTAGGAACCGGTTGCAGGAGACAGATCATCTGAATCCAGCATGTGGTTGCGTGAACTCTATGTCCATCAAGAAACAAAGACTATTTCCATCTAAGCTTACTATGCCTTCGTGGTGTCCCCTTTGTTCTCTCCTACTTTAAGGAACATCAGCAAACTTCTCGCGCGGTTATAATAGTTCCTAACCACAAAACCTTTCGTGATTTTATATGATAATATCTATATAATGATTAAACAATTACCAATTATGAACATTATATAATAATAACCCTAAAGTTATTATGTGTTAATAACCCTAAGGGTTATACTTAGCATCTCATGATAACGACTGATAATGCACCACATGGAATGTAGGTCCGCAGGGATATACCTCTCTTTAGCACTATATAGAAGCAAGTACGTCGACGATGCGTGCGACATTCGGGAGGATTTTTGAATGGAAAAATTTTTGAATGACAACCAAAGTATAATTAACAAGATTGGCTTTATTAGCAAGCAAGATGCCACACAGAGCAAACTTAACTGATTTGAAGAGAAGTAATTCACCCAACCAAGGGACCACATACGTCAGGAAATTAAACTGACATCTGGGAGTGTTGTTTCAATGAATACTATCCATTAGGAAGCAAATCTACGTGGATTTAATGGTAGTGCTGCCGCCCATAATCCTTTGACCGCTAAATCTAATCGAGTTGTTGTTGATCGGATGGCAAGGTCTGGGTATGGCGTTAGTCTCCAGTCCGAATGCATTGTACCAACAGTAAAGTTCGACAAAAGTGAAATTATGGTCTGGGGGTGTTTCTTCTGATATGGATTGGAACCCTCACCTTCTCCACGATTTGGATAACAATGTACTTCCTACGTTATGGCAGTTTTATGAAGGGAACTCATGTTACTTTCAGTACAACAACGTTAGCTGTTGTGTTGCGAAGTACAACCATTAATTGGTAAGGTGACAATGAGGTTACCCGAATATACTGGCCTGTCTTGAGCTAAATCCCATCGACAAGCTCTGGGACGAATTGGGTAGCCGAGTTAAGGAGTGCAACAACCGTTTAAATTCGCTGAAAGAACTTACGTGTCTCTCCAAGCCGAATGGAACAAAATACCAGCAAGATTCACCTTAGGTACCTCATTTCTGCAGCTGTTACTTTGCTTTTATTCTGCATTGGCCAGGTTTCCCTTCCATATATCAATATTTACCAATATACTGTTTTGTATAGGTGTATCTTTAACCAGTCCTTTTTTATTTATCAATGTTGTGTTAATCTGGTAATACACTTTTGTTGCTTTAGCCGTTCTCTTTCTTATTTCCTGATCTATTTTCCCGTCATTGCTCATCATTACCCCCAGGTATTCGTAGCGATTTATTACCTCTAATGTATTCTGTCCGCATCTGATGTTTATGTCTTCTTCCTTCTTGCCGATTTATTTGCTAATCTTCATTATTTTTCTTTTCTTTGCATTTATTTCCATTCCTGCAATTTATACATTGATATTCCATTTGTTGACTGAGGCTTGCAAGTTTCTGACCGTGTCCGCCAGAAATATTAGTGTCATCAACATACTCAAAACTTTGGAGGCTTACTTCATCCATTTTCCAGCGTCAGAGTGTTAGGTTCGGTGCCCTCTTTTCCTTTTCTTTAAAATTTGGTCTATAACCCCAATAAATAGGAGGGGGGAAAGGAGTCTGGCTCTTTGATTCCTTTTTCCATATTGAAACTTTTAGCCTCCATCCCTCTTATTCTGACTATTCCCATTGTTCTTTTGTACAACACTCTTGTGACTGTACTCCCTCTACTTGTACAACACTCTTGTGACTCTCCTGTGATCAATACTATCGAACGCTGCATTCAAGTCTAAGAACGCCAAATGTTTAGGTTTTCCTTCTTCTAATCTCTTCTCTTGCTGCTACTCTAATTGCATATATGTGATCTACTTGTTTCTACTTTTGTTCCTCCTGCAGTCTGATTCTTGTCTTGATTATCCTTAACTATATTTTCTGTATGCATGATGACAGGCAGTATAGTTATCACAATCATGTGCGCATCTCTTCTTATAGAGTGGTATTATGATATTTTCCTCCCAATCTCTAGGTATTTCTTCTCCATCCCATGCCTGCTAGTAACAAATCATGTTACATGAAATGAAAGGGTTCGTCAACCTTGCAAAAATGGCAGTGATACACTCACTATCTTCAAAACAGGACAGTACAAATTCCAAATAATAAAACTTTATATAAAATTGAGCCTGAAATCATATTCCATCTAGATGTGAAAATAAAAATGTTATCAATTTAATTATCAAACTTTTAGGTGAATTTAAGCTATAAATTTCATGAAATTGGGTTTATTATTTAGTATATTTTTTCTGGAATAAAATGGTTTTTGCTTCATACACATGAGGGTCATTCGTTCTGAAATAATCAAAATAAGTAGTTTATGCATACCACAAATAAATAGTACATTTAGTAAAACAAAAAATTTTTCATTGAGGTTAATAAGAAGATAAAAAATCTAAAATGATTATTTTAGAACATTGTAATCATGTAGAAATCTACAATAAAAACATTATTTTATTACAAATTGATTAAGTAAGAAATTACTTATGATTTTGTTTGATCATTTCATGTGGGTGGATTCTGCGATATGTATATGGTGCTTAAAAAAAATTGAGATATATAAAAGAAACTAGAGAGAAAGCTAAAGATAATTTGAAATCTTAAATGAAGGAATGATTGGATACTATTCCTGAAGTTGGCTAATAAAGATGCTTTCAAGTATAAGATGGACCTCTTCTATGACTTCTTATTATCATCAACCAATGTTATATTTTCATTTCATTTTTTCCACTCCTTCAAATATTAACCTCAATTTTGAAATGCTCAAAACTGCATAAATTAGAATCAACAAATTAAATACAAATATTTTAATTAATTTTAATTCATAAAATGGATTGTTGATTTTGTTCAAAACGTCTTTGATAAGCTAGAATCAATTAAAGGATATGATGTAGCAAATATATTATATGAAATAAAGTAAATCTTCGTCCATTTTATAAATTTTCATTCAAACAAAAGATCCAATTTTAGAACGCCATAATTTGCTAAAACCGTAACAAACATATTAAATATAATAGGAAATACAGACGACATTGTGCCCTATTTTTTTTTTGTAAAATAATAGGCGTGTTGTGACTTGTGTGTGAAAAAAGATTCTTGCACAATGTGTGTCAACACTATAAGACAACGAGTTAATAAGAAATTGTGTTGTGTGAATGCAATTTTCTAGGTTTAACAGTTATAGGTTAAACGTGGCTCACCTTTGCGTGTATGACCTTAAGGCCACGGCGGTTGGCTAGACGCACAGACACAAACACACACGAATCGTGGGGCCCCACCGAGAACACAATAAATGGAGCTCGGGGGCAGTCTCAAAATGCACGAGAAACGCGCGACGTCCGCGTTCCTAACCTTATTTCGTTGACATTTTTAACAAATCGAATTGACAATCGATCTTCACCGTTCAACAACAGCGCGAATGTCATTCGAACACAAAAAGAATACCTTAATCGTAATACGATGACCGATTTCTTTTATTTTTCTTCCTTTATAAAAACCAATACGGAAATGACCCCGCGCGACGAGGGCGCGGAAACTCGCCCGTGTATTAAAAAAAAACTGGTTCGCAACAAAGAATTTTCTTTCAACAGAGCGAGATTGAAAAACGGAACAACGACGACTATGAAAAACTACTATTAAAATACTTCGCGACTGAATCGCGATCCTAAATTTTCTTATACGATTACATTTACGGTTTTGAGTTCACTGCTTATTCCATTTCGAAGTTGGTACATTAATGGGCACTCTGACTACGATTTTTTTTGGTGATTATTGACGAACGGTCACGCGAAATAAAACACGTAAATAAAAATGGTTTACATTCACCTGAGGTCCGTCTGATACTTTACATGCGCACTGAACGAATACGACCAACCGATCGTAGCGCCATCGAGAATGTTGTAACCGCAATCATCACTTTTGACGTTTTAATGAAGATGTCAAATAATATTTCGAATTTAGTTAATAGATGGCAGTATTAAAATTGGATTTATACAATTTAGCTTTGATTTCGTACAATTTATCGATTATTATTCTATATTATTATTTTTATAATTTAATATTGATATCAAAATAAAATTTATGAAATTCTTTTTATAATAATATTTTATAAATCAAGTTAAATATTTGACAATAGATGGCAGCGCTAAATTCAAATTTACAAATTTCGTCCTAAATTTATTTTAAAATATTACAAAGTAATGTATACAGGTGTTTCAGGTTTTTGTAGCAGGACTTTAACAGTCGATAGATCTTTTAAAATTAACACAAAAATTTCATATAAACATAGGTCGACAAACGCTTTGTTTTGGAGATACAGGATGTTCAAATTAAATTTTTAAATTGATTTTTATTTAATATTAGACGTGTATTTCAACCGAATCTTTTCAAATTTGGTATACGGAGGTTTTTTGGCATTAGAAGGACGATTATGGAGTCCGTGTTACTATAGCCGCTCTGTAACGTATTCTTTACGGATTAAAATAGCAATAACGTTTCTGACAGTATACTTTTTGGTTATTTGAATAAAAATTCTTATTCTCTGTACTTTTTAAGCAAAAAGGGTACTCTTATCAAAATACGCTAAAGTTTATCGTTTTCAAGATAAACAAAAAAAATCCGCTTTTTATTATTCGATACAGACCAATGTTTTTAGAGGTTAGTTAAAGATAGTTCAAATAATGTGTGCCATGGAAACAAAGTAGGTAAATTAACTAATGTTTTAGTTTATTAATGTTTTTTTCCGTCGACTGTGTATTTATATGATTTATAAATGTATACAAAATCATTCATTAATGACACCTATTAATAAATGATTTTCAATTAATAAACGATTTTAAGAAAGTCCGACCGAACTAATATAGTAGTCAATTTTTCTCCAATCAAATCGGTAATACCGACCCAATCGACCACTATATCTATTCGGTAAGACTACAATATTAAGTTTTGACTTTTGACACATTAAGAGTGAGGTTTTTATTTTGCCAGTGATAGAATTGGGAGATTTTTCAACGATGGATGTTCTCTATTTTGTTGAAAGGACAGTCAACGGAAAAATATTGTAACTAACTCGTATATTAAAATGCCATTAATAGACTTGTTGGTTAAATAACTATTAATCTAAATAATAACAGAAAGAAATTAAAGAAACTGTTGAAAAAATAAACATTTTGCTTGCATAATTCTGACAGACGAATTACTGATCGAGTAATGATATTTAAGAACAGCCTTATATCATTACAAGCATTCCTAATCCTATAAGTACGAAGGCTTTCACGGCCGGAGTTAATTGAACTAAAACTAGAACTAACACTAGAAACTTTCGGGTTTTGACGAACCTCTTTTAAGAAAAGGTTTGACGTTTCGGATGCCATGTTGCAACCTTCTTCAGAAACTGGTTCGAAGTGACTTTTTTAGTTCTAATTTTAGTTCAATTCCTAATTCTATTAAAAGTTCATCCCTTGTGGGAACAGGTGTCTCATACTATTTTCCTTTCAAATATCTCCACACAAAAAATTCTAAAGCATTAAGGTCTGCAGATCGTGGGGCCATGCGACTGGTCCACCTCGACCAATCCATCTTGCAGGAATAGTTGTCTAGCCAATTTCTTACCACCCTACCATGATAAGCTGCACAATCATCAAGTTGAAACCACTATGTTCAGCTATCAAAAATTACAAGAACGCCGCAGTGGTTAGTTGTGGTGGCAAAAAGTATGGCCCGAAAAGATGATTATTATAAACACCCAGACCCAACCCAGACGTTGACATTAAATACGTAGGGGTACCAAAACATGTAAATTGTGAAAGTTTACAATCCCACGTCTTGACGTCTGTGAAGTTAGCACCTCATTTTTTTAAAACTTCAAATTTCTCTTGAGTTCCCATTGCACCCCATTGAGTTCTATAGTTCTCTACCATTTTTATTAAAAGTTCCGCAAAAATAGGCAAAAACATCGATATCGACTTTTTGGGGTGCTAAGTTCACAAAACGAGATCACAAAATTTGCAATAACTATTAAACGAATGCACGTATCTAAAAACTTTATTAAAATATCTTTTAGAACTCGTGAGGTACTATTCAGAACTCCTGCCAGAACTTTTCAAAATTTTCACCCCTCCGGGACATTTACGAAATCTCAATGTGAACACTTAAAATCGCGCACAGTTTCTTAAATATTAGTTTTACGGCTTCGGGCCTTAATTTTCGTTAGAACTCGTGGTGTCCATAACGTCGCTCGCGAACAAAAGTCCAGATCTTGATCAAAAATTAGTGGAAACCACTGATCTAAATAATTATCGCTGAAAAAATCTTTAGTGAGAATTTACGTGAGCATAATATTTCTTTTAGAATTAGAATTTATTTAATACATTTTTGGATTAATATTAATATCCCTGTAAAAGTCATTGAATTTGACCATTCTTGACCAATTATTGATTATATTTATGCCTCTAGCCTTATTATACGAAAAAACTTCTTTCCGCAATTTCAACGCTTAATAACACACAAATTAATTTAAGTGCTAGTTAAAGTTCATAAACTGCCAAAGCTTCGATGGATGGTATTCCAGTAGTTTTTCCAAGGCTCTAATTCGGCATCAAGTGTAGCTGATATGAATCCTTTACTTTCATTATTGAACTTTATCAGATTAGTATTCTTAGTAATAACTCAGTATAGATCACTATTATTTTGTATGCTATTACAGTCAATTGTACCTTCTTTAAACAGTTATATTGGGTACGCCTAGTTTCTTGGCTTGGAATTCTGATGTTCTTGCTGCATTAAAATGTGATCGAATTTTTTACCGAAGAAACGGATCAGAAGATCACATTATGAGAGGCAGTGCACACCAGAATTACTGGGTAAATCTAGAATTGGATGTTCCCGTCAGGTTTATTCAGGTATATGCGCCAACTGAAGATTCAGACATGACAGAGAATGAAGTTTTCTTTGAGGAGCTGCAGAGGAAAGTGGATATAATAAAAGGTTCCTGGAGAAGAGTAGTCGTAATGGGTTTTAAAAGTGGAGGCGTGCTGAATCAATATGTAGGAGAAGAAATCGTCTGAAAACACTCGCTACACTAGTATCATTGACTACTTCATAATTCTAAAAGATCTGAAGAATTCTTTCAAAGATATCAAGATTATAAGAGGGGCGAAGCTTTCTTCAGACCATCAAGAGAATAAGATGGGAGAGATTACAGTAAGCAAAAAAGAAGGTATCAAGAAAAACTACAAGAAATGCTGAGGACACCGGCAACTGGAATAGATGTGGTGGAAGAGAAATGGAACATTCTTAGGAGAGCCATTCTAGAAGCATATGGAGGGAAGATAATGAGGAAAAGTGTGAAAAACACCGACGAATGATGAGGTTAAGGCAGCAGTGGCAGAGAAGAAGGCGGCATTGAGATGGAAGAGGTCCAGACAGCAACCAGACTATGAAGAAGTACGTAAATTGGCCAAAACAAACTCTGGGGAAGGTTTAGAAGAAACCTGGAAAGAAACTTCTCTCAAGACAATTCTGGAAGGTGCCGAGCAACATACGTGGAAAAAACTGGAAGAAAAGTAAGGAACATAAAAGACAATAACAACAGCTTGAAAGAAGAAATGGAAGAAATTTATAGATGACGGACAAGGGGAAACGGAATGGCGGGAGGAAGAACAAGACCGACAAAAAAGAGACAGATGCAGGGAAGGAGAAGAATCAGAGTTCGCGATGAAGAAGGTGAAAAACGGTATCAAGAAAATGAAGTATAGAAGAGAAATGCCGACCAGAGCAGATACCAGCAGATTAGCAAAAAAACATAATCATCCCTATACAGGTATCTTACGTAATTGGTTCGTTAGAACTTTTTTAGGTTCCATTATTCGTATAAGTAGCTTTGAAATTTTGGTAGCATGGGTATCTGCAGGGAAATCTGCATACCTAGCTTTCATGGATATGCACTCTGCATTTGATGAGGTGTCAAGGCAAGAAAATTCATTATGTAAAAAGGAGTTAGACAGGGGAACAGTTCATACCCATTTGTATGTTTTATGGATGAAGTGGTGAAGACATGCAAGAGAAGAACAGAAACTTCGGTGGTCGCCATTCTCAACCTCAGAATCGTGTGCCAGGAAATTGCAACAGACTGTACTCAAGTGATCAGAAACTCTAAAGGACTATAAAGTTAAGGTGGTTACGATAAATGAGGAACATGTGGATAACATCCACATCGAATGTGATGCTCAACTTTTTCTCCAGATCAGCAGCTATTAATATCTGGGCACGACAGATAGTTATTGAAAAGTATAATTATTGGTAAACATATATTATTGAATTTTTCAAATGGGTTAATTTAATACTTAAGAGTGTCAGCGTTCTATTTAAGTTTTCTTTTCTATATGAATGATGACACTATTCAACTAAAAATAAAGTTTTTGATATCTTAGTCAATAGAAGCAGGATAAATGAGGAAATGTTTATTTCTTTGTATGGGTTCTTTCATGGGTAGCGAATGTGTCGAACAAGTGACTTCCAGGCTGACAATCAACGAACATCCCGTGATGGTTTAACATATTCATCAGGTAAAGAAATTTTATTCGTCTTTATGGTAGTAATGTGAGTTATGACTTCTTAAAAACTTGATAAAATTATTAGTTGTTATATATTTTGAATATTTTGAACCCTCGATCTGTTATGCAAAATGGGATTGTAACATGTCTTCGTAGATCCTGTACGAGTAAGATTCCGTGGTAGGCATGCCATTATTTGTACAAGGACCATGACTGGAAGGACATTGTTGGGAGAATAGTAATGAGACCCCTCAAGGAACTATTTTGTTTGCCAAAAATTCGTATGTTGTTGAATTCTTATAGTTTATTTCTCTTTCTACACACAACAAAATTTGTCAAACCATAATTAGTCTCGAACAACGAATTTCTTCAATACATCTTTCATTCGGTCATACATATCCCTTGTCTTTTTTGACTGCCAATAAACACAGTTATCGTTGTTTCCGTCAATTGAAACTCACTGAAATCGCTGTCTATTATTATCTACAATTCTGTCAGCCAAACACTGCAACAACTACTCTACGGCGCATGGAATTATTATCGTTCTTGATTCTTATTTTACAGTGCATTTTAGGAGGACTCAGTTTGTTATTCCCCCTTACTCTTTCTTAATTTCGATAGTATATTTTAGGTATTAACAAATGACACTAGTAGGCGACTTTAATATGTTGTCCCTTAATATGTTATCTCGAAATCATATGCGAGTTTTAAAGAATATTTCATAAGAGGTCAATCGGTTCTTTTAATCCATTTGCATCATTCAGAAAATAACAAAGTAAATAACATCCATATCACCAACCTTTTTTTATTATTTAGTGAATAAATTATAATTATAATACATTCACGATTGCCACAAATTCTCCGACGTACCAGTTGGCGAAACTCCTTGCCAAGATTCTATCTCTTTTTACAAGTAAAACAAAATCATATGTCAGAGATTCTACGCAGTTTGTGGAATCAATCAAAACTATGAAGTTAGATGCCCAGAATATCCTAATAAGTTTATAAAATAATATAAAATTCAAGAAAGGTAAAAATGGTTTTATGGAAAATTTAGTATGAGATATTATTGTAATTGATTAAACGCTTAAATTAAAAATCGTTGTTGGTTTTGGAATGATGCGAAAATGCTCTAGAAAATCTGGATTTGTACAAACCAATCTACAAATCGTGCAAATCAAATATATAAGATCCTATTGCTGTTTTTTCTCTAATAAAGATTAAATTAAAATTTTCAAATTTAGTTTTAAATTTATTTCCTTCAACACTTTTATTTTAAATAATAAATAAACGATTAAATAGGTGGAATCATAAAAGGTACATCTATAACTTTTTTTCCATGTCCAAAATAAGCGTATCCATATTTAGTGGTTCCGATTTTATGGAAAAAAACAAATCCAGGCCAATACATCGATTGTAAAACTTGCATTATTCCACCCGCAGTGACCTGAATCATCCAACAACCACCCGGAATATCCATATCGATGGGATCTAAAAAATCCATCGCGTAATTATAATCGCTCCTAGTCAATAAATTTGTATTCCATTTTTCACGCGGAATTCTATAATGTAAAAACGATGCGATTTCTTGAGCTTCCAATCTTTCGAGTCCTTCGAAGCTCAGATTTTCAACGTTTACACCATCGGGCCGTTTAAATAAAGCACCTCTTGGTACGATTATGGCTTCTTCGTTTATATAATAAACAGTACATGATAGTCTATCTTCTTCTTTTAACTTCCGTATTTGTGGTGCATGGAAAACATGTCCCAAAGACGTTTCATCTTTTTCGATAAGAATATCAACTACTAGAGCTGGATCTCCGTGAAATTTCGTTACACAAAGTGGTGTTAAAAGTTTTCCTTGTTCTGTTGGATGAGGCAATAGTCCCCAATCAATACAATTCGTGCTATAATAAAATATTTTACCCAGTAACGCATCTTTTACATAACCGAAAGCCAAGAAATAATCTTTTTCCACACCAAAAATTCGACCCCAAAAGTAAATTTTCCGAAAATGATTTTCATTTTGAAGTAGTAACAAGGAATTGTAGAGTATTATTCCTTCTTCGGTGCTCAAAACTTGCCCGCTATGTCCGGTTGTTTCTAATGTATCTAAAAGGGAATCTAAATCCATGTACTCCTTTTCTTTTGCAGTCTTTTTGAACTTCTTTGGAAAAGAAGGATAAGATTTTTTTGAGTGACAAGTTTATGATAAATAAAAGAGTTTTGACAATAATCTTTTTTTGAGTTGTCATGTTTATTTTTTTTAATTATTTACATTTAAAAAATGTACACGAGATTTTATGTAGTTACAATTAGATTACATTTTAAAAAGGAAAACGAGATTCTCAACTGACTAGTTATCTAAAATACTAATTAAAAAAAAAAAAATAGGCGATACATACGGTTTCTCTACGACCTTTTTCTACGTCTATAAATTGTTCCGCAATTATTGCTTTTAATGTTTACAATTTTATTTAATTTACATTTAAAAATTTAATTATTAATTAATATAACCTTAATTATCTATGATTATCAATTAATTAATTGTTAGCAAATTAATTACAATTTTCAGAAAATTCAGTAATATATTTTTTCAAACATTAAGAAACGATAACAATTAACCACTACTGTAAGGAGACGATATTTTATATTTTGATTAACATTATCGGCTCCAAAAATTGTTTAATTCTATAAATTGTAACGTTTTATCAAAAAAAAATGTAATGTTGTTAATGAAGTAAAAGAAATATTAAGTGATGGTTTTATTAACAAGAAGGAGTGAGTCTTAACTACTCGGAATGTCTAAATTTACAACATAAATGTGTTTAAAGTTTTCTTTAGGTTTTAATAAAAAAAAATAAGTTGGGCGATATGATTTTAAGGGTGAGCCTTGGATTGGATGAACAACGGCAACGACCTAACCAAAATATGACAAGGAAACATGATTTAAGTATCTGCTCATGGGTCACTGTATAGAAGAGGCGTCACAAGAATACTTTTGGATATACTAAAATAATGCAAGGTGGATATCGATACAGGAGTGAAATGGATAAATAATGAAAAAATGCTTTTGCGCAATTGTGATAGATACTACAGCTGCCACAAAAGAGAAACAGCTCGTCATAGGATTCCAAGAGATGAACCCAAGACTATAAATGAAATTAAGAGGGAAATTCTTTAACATCAACATACCCCAGATGAAAACGCGGAGGAGAAGCAGAATACTATGAACGTGCACCGGTCCTCAGCAAACGGCATAAAAACCGTATGGTGGACAAGAAGAATCTCATTTGATTAAACACAAGCAAATACACAAAATGACGTTGGAAACATTAAGTTAAGAGCAGGGATGAAGAATGAAGTGTACCGACAATTCCAATAGAGAAGAACAAGAATATAGGAAACAATCTATAAGGAGTAGAGATAACAAGAAAAGAAAATATATAAAAAGAGAAAGAAGGAGTATGAAAAAAAGGATCTAAGAAATGGAGACCGTAAGAAACAATGGTAAGGTCAGAAAATTTTACCAAAAATTGTAGGAGGAAAGTATCTAAGGCAGATAAGCAGGATGTGCAAAGGTAGATATTACACGACCCACGTAAAATTATAGAGAGATGGATTAAATACTTCGAACAGTTACTATACAGGTGTCTCACGTAACAGGTTCGTGAGAACTTTTTTTAGGTTCCACTATTCGTATAGTTTTGAAATTTTGGTAGTAGGGGTCAATCATCCGTGACTTTTGATGTAACATACTTTCAAGATGGCCACCACTTCCGAAAGTAGACCACAACTTCGTTATTTTAAATGGAATGTTATAATGTTTATTACGCCTTCTAGTTATATGCGAAAAATATGGAGACTTTGATAAAAGTTATTGGTACCCAGCGTTTTTCGTTTTCGAGTTATTTTGATTTTAAGTTTCTTTTGACAAACTTCACCAGGCTCTTTAAAATCCTATTTCTCAACCAACGTTCATTCAAAAAATTTTAGATTGGCACGATTACTCTTCAGATGGTATCAAATAGATTATGATTTGTTTTTTCAGAATATCTTATAAGTTGATCAAAAATTGGATTACCATTTTCGTACATTGAATAGCAAATTGAAAATGTTAACTGGAACGTCCCATGTTTTATTAGCCTACCAGCAAGAGAATTTAGTTCTCTACAATTCATTTATAAACATAATTATGCAAATTATTCAAACGCTGATATTTTAAATTGAAAAAGACTTTCTTAGTTGTAGACACATCAAGACCAAAAGAAACCATAAAATGTGATAACATAAACAGTGATGAAGACAACGAAATAAATATGTTATCGTATTTTATTTCGAAATTTTCATAAATTTAATAAAAAATTTATATTTTAAATTTTTTATCCAAATCTAATTTTTGTCATTAAATTTTTATTTGCATTGTTTCATTTATTTTTTCTATTTATTATTTTTGATAAATAAGAGCTAGTAAACTAAAGGATTATCAAAAATATGGCCTTCTAATAAAAATACAAACGGCTTTCGACATTTCGTACATATGATTTCCCAATATGAGAGAACAACTTTTTTTAAATATATAATATAATAGCTTTCATTTCTCTGTATAGTTTTTGGCTGAAGATGAAGTTATAAACTTCAAAACCGGTACCGATTTACATTAAATAATCTCTGCAAGTGCGAAGTTCATATTTTGTGTTTTATTTTCATATTCAAATTTCATTTTTACTTGCAACATGGATAATTCTCATAACTTCAATATATTTTTATTGTTTACTAATATTTAGTTCGTTTTCGAATAAAACTTTGAACATGAAAATTTTTGAACACCAATTTATTCATGTGGTTAACCATTTTAAAATGATATTTTATTATAACGTACCCCCTGATATAACGTACGCACTTTTTGATCCTGTAAGGACACGTAATAACCGGAGTCTACTGTAACTCGAAAACGAAAAACGCTAGGTAGATTAAATGTACCTAGCGTTTAAATTACTTTTATTAAAGTAACCATATTTGTTTGCATGTAAAAGGTGTAATAAAAACTATAGTATTCCAAAAAATAACGAAGTTGTGGTACACTTCCGGTAGACCTTGATAGTATTTTAGATGGAAAGTTACGGATGATTATTAATTTTTGTTGACCTTTAGTACCAAAATTTCAAAACTCGAAATACGAATAGTAGACCCTAAGAAAGTTCTAACAAACCAGTTACGAGGTAGAAGGAGGGACACTATACCGGGTGTCCCTCAAAAGTGGCTCACCCCCATATTTTTTTTTATTATTAGTGATATAAGAAAACCATTTGGAATGCATAGTTAGGTCGCTAAAACGGATTATTACGACATGAAATCATTCTTTTTGTACTTCCGGTTATACCGGATGTGAGTACTAATTTCGCTATTATTTTTAAATCTATAATTTTTTTTTCTTCAGTTGGATAGACAGTATAATTTCACATAACTTTTACTTGAAAAAATTTTCACGGTCGCTTATAATTTTTGAAAAAAAAAAATTATTTTCGTTATTTTTTAACGTTTTAGTACCTTCGGAAAATGTATTACAACTTTTGACACATAGTAGCTAGGTTAATAGTACAAATTACGTTATGTCCCTCTTGATTTGCTATTCCTCGAGCAGTGATCACTGCTATGCTTTAGTTAGTGGTTCTTTTTTAATATTGGTGTAAACAGTTGTATTAAATTAGTTTTAAAAGAAGAACGCTATCCAACAATTAAATTTAATTCAATTGTAAGTTCAAAAAAACTAATTTTCTAAATTTTCAAAATGCTCCCGCCTCGATTTTGACATAATTGTATCTTGCGTATTGTCGATCTAACGACTCGACGTTATTCCTGAGGAGATTTTTAGGTAATACAATTTCTAACTCGATTTATTTTCTAATACCTCACGAGACCTTACTGGTGTATTATACAGCTCATTTTTGATTTTGCCCCATAAAAAGAATCTAAAGGTGTGAGGTCAGGTGATCTGAGAGGTTTTAACCAAAATAAAGTAAACAATCCAAATTATAATGTACAATGGACATTGTAAGTAACTATCAGCTACAGAACATTTAGTGTAAAAGAATAAAAAATCAAAAATAATTGAATTAAACTTAATTGTTTGATCGCGTTTTTCTTTTAAAACTAATTTAATACAACTGTTAATTTACACCATTATTAAAAAAGAACCACTGACTAAAGCATAGCTGTGATCACTGCTCGAGAAATAGCAAATCAAGAGGGACATAACGTAGTTTATACTATTAACCTAGCTACTATGCGTCAAAAGTTGTAATACATTTTCCGAAGGTACTAAAACGTTATAAAATAACGAAAATAATATTTTTTTCAAAAATTATAAGCGATCGTGAAAATTTTTTCAAGTAAAAGTTATTTGAAATTATGCAATCTACCCAACTGAAGAAAAAAAAATTATAGATTTAAAAAAATAGCGAAATTAGTACTCACATCCGGTATAACCGGAAGTACAAAAAGAATGATTTCATGTCGTAATAATCCGTTTTAGCGACCTAACTATGCATTCCAAATGGTTTTCTTATATCACCAATAATAAAGAAAAATATGGGGGTGAGCCACTTTTGAGGGACACCCGGTATAAAGGTACAACAACAAGAAAAATCAACATTCAAGAAAATCAAGGCGGCAATAAAGAAATAACGAGTCCAGGTTCAGACAAATTTTAAATTTTGCCTTGAGAGCCATCTGATGTAAGTTCGTCAAGATCAGATAAAACTGCGAGATTTTTTATATGGACTGATGTGGTCAATTCAGCAACCTCTGTTAGGTGGCTCCAGATACAAGTTTTTGGCAAAAGATGACGGTTCATATATAAAACAGTATACGTGTGTCCCGTATCTTCCGCATCAGAGCATTATACAGTTGTAGGATACATTATTCTGAAGCGACCTTTCTAATAAAATTTTTTCGAAATGTTTATAATAACCGCACGGGATCTGTTTAAACGAACTGTTTTTCGTCCAATCAGCAGATCGCAAATCAGACTCAGGTAATCAGCGCCACCCTCGGCCGCTCCGGTACGCCGATGATAACTTGTTTCCCACGTGTACTCACCAATAGATTCGTCACGGAAAAAGAAATAAACTTTTTCGGTGAATCAAAGTCGTCCGTTATTGGTCGTCGTTAAACAGTTCCCGTGCGGTTATTATAAACATTTCGAAAAAAATTTATTAGAAAGATCGCTTCAGAATAATGTATTCCACAACCGAAAATCTGATGCGGAAGATACGGGATACGCTGTATTGTATAAAGAATAAAACCGAAAATGTATAAATAATTAAAGGTTTTCATAATTAAGGTAAAAACACAAATGGGAAAGGTCGTTAAGATAGTTAGAAGTGGTAACGGTACATAGTTTGTAAATGAATTGGTTACAAATTTGTTGAAAGGTGATGGAATTGCACATCAGCTGACAGTGCCGTACACTCCAAAACAAAATTGGGAAGCAAAAAGGGAGGTCTGCACAATCAGGAAGGTAGCCTTCCTCAGCACAATGTTAGCTGAAAAGAAAATGGAAAAGAAGATTTTTGTGAAAGCGGCAAATATGGATATAGAGTCTATTTTTCTGATAGAACTTTGGTGATAATAGAAAAAGAGATCACGTTTGTACCAGAAAATGAAAATCAACCAGAAAATGACCAAGTTATAAAGTTAGATGTCGAAGAAAATTACAAGGAAAAAGAATACGAGGTCAAAAAAAAAGAAGAACGAAGAGAACTATTATAGCGTTAATTTGGATGAACCCTTAACATATGAAGATGCAATGAGAATTAACAATGTTAATGAGTGCAACACAATGTGCGGTAAAAGCATTATATCAAAACAAAATAACACTGGGACATAGTGGAGAAAACGTGATGAGAACCGCAATGTTACAGAATTTAAATGCACACTTGTTGCAAGAGGATTTCAACAGTAAGGGGTACCTGAAAAGATTTATGCACCTGTTGTAAAATTAAATACAATTAGAGTCTTATTAGCAATTAGTGTGTTAAATAATTGGTTAGTATAAGATACCATTGATGAATTGTTCGAAGATCTATAGAAAAAGATATATCTGCCAAAAAATTATGAAGTCAAACACAAAGTGTGTAAATTAAAGAAAGCTGTATATGGCCATAACGGTGCTTCGTTATGGCAACAAAATATATGAATCACACAAGACGTAAATAAAGGCAGTGGGCGCGTTCACCAGAGAATTCCGTTTACGTTATCAAACGCAAACGGGTTACGATTGCGTTGGTGATTTGGTGAACGGCCAATTTTTCTATAGACATATGGTTTGATAACAACAGATGGCGCTTTAATGACAATTATTTACAATTTTAATTAATTTATAGATCATACCGCTCAATTTATCATGAATTTCTTCATTTTCAAAGATAGTATACACTAACCCATTAAATAAATAATTTTGGGCTTCTGCCATTCTTTTTTGTTGATTTTAAATTTAAGATGACACAAACACCAAACACCGTTTGCATCTGCTAACGGAAAAATCATACGATTGATAAAATGGTGGCCGTTTACCAAACACGTTTGAAGTTAGCGTTGCGTTCACCAGAAATGTTGATAACTGATAACAGTTTGGTCTCCGTTTGAAAACGTTGACAGTTGGTGAACGCGCCCATTATCACTTTGTGTCAACGAAGTTATCTAGAAAATGTACTCAAAAGATTCAATATGCATGACTATAAACCCGTAGGTACTCCTATAGGGAACAATTTTAATTATAGTTGTTTAAAAGAGATAAAATCTGAAAGTGCCGAACTTGACCATAAAAGTAGACAAATCATAAGTTGTATAATGTACAATATGTTAGGTATAAGACATGTTCAAGTAATATCAAGGTGGGGAGAGAGAGAGAGAGACCTGTGGTCATTGTCTTCTTATTTATGGTATCCAAAATACCATTGCTAGGTTCACCACTGAAGCGGGATTCGTTTCAAAAACAAGCAATCAACGATTCATTCAATAAATTTTTTAATGAACAAATGAAGCGAATTTAGATATAATGTTTAATTTCATTAATGCAGATTAACTCAAAGATAATATGGAAATTATTAAATGATAGTTTCAATTTTTTTAAAAGAAGTTTATATTGAGGCAACGGAGATCTCACGCAATTTGCTAGAATATTGAATATTACAGAAATTTAAAAAATCGTATCTCAAAAACCAATTGAGCTATCAAGATGAAATAACGAGCAGTTTAAAGGAAATTTAATCTGGTTTTAATGTACCGTAAATAATTTCTTAGTTCCCATAAACCTAGTGCTAATGATTTTTTCTCAAATAATACCAAATTTTTACATGTTCAGTACATAATAATTAAAAATTTGATGTAGTTTTGTAATCATATTGAATATTGATCGTTGATAATAAGAAAAAATGTTGTAAATAAAATTTGTTTAATTTTTTTTTAATAATTAATTTGCTGATTTAAAAAATGGGCGAGTCCAGCGTTATTCAATTCTCATTGTATTGGATTGAAAGAAAATTAGACATAAATAAAAATTGATTAATTTTCAAAACGTGTTTAAATAAACACGAAATAGCCACACTGGCTTATTTTTCATTAATTTCTTCATAAATATAGCTCTACATAATATTTTTACACAAATATTTATGACTCACCTCCCACATTATTACGATTCATCGTAATATTTCTTTTACTTATTACTTTGTTCAATAATCAATTTATTTTTCTGTCTAGTAACTTTAGTTTGCGGTGTAGCTTGCGCCGCAGCTTGAGATTGTCTTGGTAAAGTTTCTCGACGAGCGAAGCTTGTATATTTAGTAATCAAACTTCTCCGATCGACATGTTGTTTACCACCACGAGCGACTTGCATCGCAATTGCAGCGTGATTTGAACGATCCAAAATCTTAGAAACAACCCGTCCGTTTTCGCCTTCATTAGCTAAATGTCGCATAACAATATGTAAATTATCTTCATGTTGTTGTTGAAGTGAAACAATTCTTCGTTCGGATTCTAATCGAACCTGCCTTAAATTATCACTTAAACTTTGAACGCGGCTCATTAAATTTTCAATTTGCGTATCCATATAAATTACTTGAAGTTCAAGTTTTTTACTGCTACTTCGTAAATCAACGACTTTATCGAAATATTTGTGTAATAAAGCGCGCATTTCGTGTTCGTTTAATTTTGTTAGACGTTCCATTAACATTTTATCCACTTCTTCTTTTGAGTTTGTTATGAATTTTTTTAATGATCTTCCGCACATTAATTCATTTTTGTACTCTATGGCTAAATCAATAGCCTCGATTGCTTCTTCGTATTGAAACATTTTTCTTTCTTGTATTGTATCAACAATTTTCGTGTCGATTTTACAGCGCTGTTCTAATAAAAGATCACGAGTTTTTCTTAAATTTCTTATTTCATGTCGGAGTAATTCTAATTTTTCTTCTGGAAGTTTTTGAGTTTCTTCTTCTTCAGATGAAGAACTTTTTTCTTGTTCACTTATTTCAGATAACATATTTATTTTGTTTTCAATTGATTGTAATTCAACTGATTCGCGTTTTTGTTCATGTTCTTTTCTACATTTTCGAAGTTTATCTAATTGTTTTCTTGATGTATGCAAACTATTTTCTAATTCCATCACTTTTCGATTACCATCTTCAGCAATAGTTTTAACTGATTTTGCATCTTTAATTTTTTTTTCTAATTCGGAAACTTCTAAACGATATTTGGCTTCTAAGTAATGATCATTTTTTACATTTGCTTCTGACAATTTAACTTGGGCGCTTTGAAGCATTTCTTTTAAATCTTCACATTTCTGTTCGATTCTTTCTCGAGCATTCGATTTGGTATCTTTATGTTTTTGTAATTGTTGTAATAATTTCTCTTTAACACGAATTGTGTGCTCTAATTCTCCAATTTGTTTTTCACAAGCTTCTAAATTCATTGAAATTTGTTTTAAAATTTTTTGTTTCATTTCTTGGGTTATAATTTTATCATCATCAAAATCAATTTGGATTTTGGGTGTATTTGTTAAAGATGGTGACAATTCCTCAACAGAATGTATTGAATTTCTTCTCCCTCGGGCCCCTTTCGAATGATACTCACTGTTTGTTGAGCTATTAATGGATTTAATATTTGATTTTTTTAAAGAATCAGATAAATTAGAATTTTTAGCAACTAAATTATCAGTTTTAAATTTAAAATTTTCCATTAAAACTTGCAATTTCTCTGTGATTTCCTCGATTTCTAAATTTTCACTCTCTGAACTAGTATCATAACTATCCTCAATTTCTTCTTCAATACGTTCTAAAGAACGATGAGGTTCTGATGTTTCACTTAAACACTCTTCACATTCTTGTTTTAATGTTAACCAATGTGAAATTTGTTCCACATCATTTCTCGGTAAAGATCCATTTGTAACTAACTTTTGAAATAATTCTTCAGCATTTGAAACTAATTTAAAAAGTTGATTTGCCGCAAATTGTAAACCAAAAACGTCCAAATTTTCAGCTGGGAGTTCTTGAGTTGTATACGAATTAACTGTTACTATATTTTTAACCATTTGGGCTCTCATTGCAAATTGCATTGTATAATAAGTTTCTGATATATCACGCATCAATGGTGAAATACAACAAATTAATAAAGTTTTAGCTCTTCCTCCAAATGAATCCTTTAATAACATTGAAAGAACTGACTGACTGTAAGGTACATTATGAATGGAATTATACGTTTCTGTTAATGATATAATACATTGTTGAAGTGCTAACAATCCAGAATCCGTTGGAATGCTTTGAGTCATCCCATTGTTATCTAAAACTAATATTTTATCACTTCCTGCTAAATCAACAAAACTAGCTGTTGAAACGCGATGTTGAACAGTTGTATCAACAACCCATTGTTGTTCTAATGTAATTGTAAGTAAAGAGTGAGCACACCTTGGTGCTAAATTACTCATACCCAGCTGTATCAATTGAAAAGCTTCACTTACGCTACTACATTCAACACTTCCACCAACCAATAAATCCTGGACGTTTTCACCACAAATTTGCGACCATGTTATATGCACCGAGCAACTTCTTTCTCGATATAAGGATATTTTTGAGAATACTCCTCGTAGAAAACGAGGGATGATTCCATATTCACTTTCGCTTGATGCAAAGTTTAATCCTGGCCCAAGGAGAGTGTAGGATTTTCCCGTTCCGCTTTGTCCAACTGTAACGATTGATACATCGCATCCTTCAAAAAGATAATTGAGATGTGGTGAAACCAACGATGTAAAAATGAAATTTTGGCTACAGTCTATAGGCAATGCGTAATTTACGGGATAATTTTGTGAGTTTCCCAACTGCACGGTGTTATTGTAAACGTTTGGTTGTACACAAATTATATCTCCATTATTACACTGTATGGGACACACACGAACTGCCGTTTCCACGTTCATTTCCATCGTGGAAAGCGTTTTGTTGTTGTTGATGTTTGACGAGTTGTAAACATAACCTTCAAGTTTGGTTTGACAGTTGATGTCAAATATTTAATAAAAGATAATTTATTTTATTTCAATTAATTTATTGCTTATTCAAAAATATAATACAAATTCTGATGTATTATGATCGCTTCAAAGATTTTATTATATTAAACACTCAAATGATTATTTTGATAATAGAATTGATTTATGGCATTGAAATATAATTTGATATTTTCTTAATAGATGGCGTGGTTACTATTGACAGTATTGTTACTTGTTACCAAAAGAAAACTACACATTTCAAAAACGTATAAACCTAATAATAATTAAAATTTTAATAACTATATTATTATTTACCGGATGAGTCGGGAGGAACGGACCAAAGTTTTGGAGTATATTGTACACTAAAATATAATGTAAGAAAACTGATGTCCTTATCCGATTTACTTTTATTTTCTTCTTTTTTATTGCATAACTCTTACTGCATAACTACAATTAAACAAAATCTTATACATTACCATTAAATATTGATCGTCAACGTTATTTTAATAATTCTAAACATTTCCGGCTTCGTTTACTAAGAGCTCTTGTCGAAAATGAAAAAAAAATGAAAATCAGATAACAACATATGAGTTTTTTTACATTATTTTGAAGCCTGCTACATAATACATGGTACACCTGCTATATTACCTGCTATTATACTAATGAGGAAGTCAGATGCTGCATAATAGTATATTAAAAAACAAGTTTCGTAAGACACGTTGGAAATGCACGAATTCAATTTTTAATGAATGAGTGCTTTAAGTCTTATGAAACGTGTTTTTTATGCTATTTTTTGTAATTCGCGTTTTTATCCATTTTTTTTCTCAAAAATAATATAAATTGTGACAATGCCAATGTAGGGAAATACAAGGTCTATAGAACATGTTCCATAGACCTTGAGGGAAATAGATATGTAGCAGCTGGTAACACCGTAACATTTGAAAATATAAATTTGAATTGACAATTATAAACTGTCAAAACACAAAATGTATTCACCTGACAAAAATGTTTCAAGTACACCTCTCAAAATAAAAGAAATTCGGAAAGAAATTCCGAATTTAGAAGGAAATTAGAAAGATTCGGGTTTAGCCGCACGTCTCAAAAGACGGCTAAACCCGAATGATTCTAGTTCTACGTCTTGACACTACAAACATTTTGCCGTGCGTCTGAAGACGCACGGCTAAACCCGAAACTTTCTGGTTCTAGGTCTAGTGTTAGTTCTAGTTTTAATTGTTGTGTAGCGCTAGACCAAGAACTAGAATCATTCGGGTTTAGTCGTCTTAATGAAGCGCCCGGGTGCGGGAACCGGAGTGGCGCCTCACAGTGGTCAATTTCATGAATTTAGGCGGACAAAATTCATACCTCAAAAACCCAGCAAGCTACGGCAATGAAATTTCGTATGTAGCTGTTAGTAACAAAATCTAAGATTTGTATCAAGTTTGGATCATATTCGTCAACCGAAAGTGGTACTTTATTTGAAACCATATTGAACTTGTTCTATATAAACTTGTGGTGTAAAGAGAGTTAAACAAATGCAATATTGCATAAACGATTAAAATTATGAGAAACATTCATATCGTAAATTTCACGCGAACCGCGTAACCGGAAGTTGTCCTTTATCTGAGCACCATCCAACCTTTTTATAAAAAATGATAAACAGTGTGTCCGTAAAGTAGCGGATATAGGCGGTAAAATCATTATTAACGGTTTATTCAAAAATCCCTGAAACGGGTCTAAAGATTTACATTTTTTGCAATTTTTTAGTGTAGATTTCAAATTTTTTCCGCCATTTTTAAACGAGTTATGACGTCATCGATGTTTTTTCAAATGGCAATCCCCCATTTTTATTACGGAATATGAAAGAAGATTTTTTTCTGAATCTAGTACAGTCAATATTAATATTGCTTACATAAGAAAATTTTCGAGAAAAATTACTTTAAAGTTCTCGTACGTCAAATTTGTATAAATGATAAAAATAGCAGTAGCCATGGTAATCACTTATTTTAAACAATTGCCTGAGTCTCAAAACCTGATTTAGTAAAGCTTCTTGAAGTGTGGTGACGCGCCATCTTGTTGGAATAACTGCTATTGGAATTGAGTTGGGTCAACATTATCGGAATGGATGGATTGACAACGTTTTGAAAAAATTTAAATATCTCTTTCCAGTTAAGGTGTCCTCAAATCTTTTGCGGATATTGGGTGTGCGACTTTCTTTGCGAATTTGGATTTTGGCTAACCCAATACCAACAATTTTGTCTATTTTACTTGTACAGTCAGTGTAAATGTTCCTTCGTCGGAAAAAATTATGTTTTTGACAGTCTTGGTCATCGTTGCAAAAACTACGATTCATTGCTCATGAATGATATTTACTTTATGGGAATGATATTTTGCAGGTTTTAAAATTTTGTGAACCGTTGATTTACTAATGTCCAAATTAGACTCAATACTCCTTACAGTAACATGAGGGTTTTCTTGCCCAGCAAATCCACGTTTTGTTGAACCTCCCCTGAAACATTTGGTAGGCCAGACTTCAAGAAATGCCCATGCTTTTTAAATTTAGTCACAGCTAGGCTCACCATACATTGGCTAATGAGTTGGCGATCAGGATATGTTGTATTAAAGAGGTCAACTACTTACTAAATCAGTTTTTGACACTTAGGAAAATGTTTGATATAATTGGTTAGCATAGTTACTCATGCTTACTGCTATTTTTATCATGTCATCAAATTTGAAGTAGTTAAACTTTAAAGTAATTTTTCTCGAAAATTTTCTTAAGTAACCAACGTTAATATTGACTCTATTAGATTCAGAAAAAAATTCATATTCCGTAGTAAGAATGGTGGACTGTCATTTGAAAAAAATATCAATGACGTCATAACTCGTTTAAAAATGGCGGAGAAAATTTAAAATCTACACCAAAAAAATTAAATCTTTAGATCCGTTTCAGAGATTTTTCCATAAACTATTTATAATGATTTTATCGCCTATATCCGTTACTTTACGGACAAACTGTATAAGGTGTTGAGACTGGGCTCAAAATAAGCCAAGGTATTTCAGGTCACCTCTTCCGTTGCATTATCTACTACATTTTTTGGTCAGTTTAACACGTGATTAATTCGTCCAAAATGCAAAAAATTTGCTTTTATTCTTCTAAATTTACCTTTTGTCATCGGAGGTAAATGTGGATAACTTTCATTAAACATTCTGCAAGTTCTACTAAGAACTTTGTCGCAGTTTTCGTGCACAAAAAATAAATGATGGATTTCTTCATTTGTATAAACATTATTTACGTTATTAATATCCATTTTAACTGGTTTTAGACTCACAAGCATCAAACAACGTAAATCAGACTTTGACGTTTGTCAATAAGTCATTAAACATTTGTTTTCCATGGCACACTAGGTTAATAATATCGATATGATATGTGAGCATTTTTCAAAAAACCCTAATTATTTCTCAAACTATTAATTTTAGGCATAGGACATTTGAAATATAAAAGATGTAAAATGAGACGCCGAAGACGACTAATTGTAAGTAATAAAATATGGGGGGTGCCATTTAAAAAAATGAAGTTATGGTACTTCCAAATTTTGAAAAGTTAACGTGCCATAGTAAAGTGACCAAACGTTCTCGGTACTAAAATATACTCCATCATGTTATTTAAGCATGTTCTGAATCCTAAATTGATATCTGAAAAATCGAGTGTTCTATGATTTTTTGAACAAATGTCCGCTGGAGCAGATTTTTCTAGAAAAGTTGGAATAACTCGAGAACGGCCGAATCAAATTGCAAAAAGTAAAGTTATTTATAAACCTTCAAAACAGACAAATCCATATATGTAAAAATATACCAACCCAACGTAAGAACAAAAATGATTTTTAGCTTTCTAGTTAAATATTTCGGTATAGCTTCTCAACGATGGACAACTTATTAAAAAGGCGCCGGCGCCCCCTTTTAGGCGGCGACCGGGTGCAGTGCACCCCTTGCACCCCTCGGTAGCGTCGCCCCTGGTTTCTAGGTTTAATGTTAGTTTTAGTGACAGTGCAAGTGTAAAACTAACACTGTACCTAACACTAGAATCATTTGGATTTAGCCGCATGTTTCTAAAGACGGCTTAATCCGAATGATTCTAGTTCTAGATATATTGTTAGTTCTAGTTCTATATTTGTACTGTCATTAGAACTAACATTAGACTTAGAACTAGAATTATTCGGGTTTAGCAGTACGTCTCTTAAGACGGCTAAACCCGAATGATTCTAGTTCTTGGATTTGTGTTAGTTCTACTGATAGTGCTAGTGTAAAACAGGGTTTAGCCGTACTAGTTTTAATTGTTATTAAGCGCAAAATTGTTGTCTATTTTTACTGAAATAAAAGTAGAACTAACACTAGACCTAGAACTACAATCATTCAGGTTTAGACGTATTGAGAGACGTGGGCTAAACTCGAAAGTTTCTAATTCTATATCTAGTGTTAGTTATAGTTTTAAATTTGAGTTTAATAACACTTGTTTAGTGTTTAAATAATTATTAATACAAATATTATTATGCATCATATTAATATTACATGCATATTATAATATTAGGCCTTGGTCCTGTATATTCTGTGCCATGTGTCATGTTATTCTGGTAACGTAAGAACTGTAGATGCTTAAAGTCCCTAAATTACCATTAATGATTACATTTTTTTTGTTTACGCTAATGTTTATTCATAAATAAAGTTAAAAATATATTTCTTCAATACAAAAGTTTAGAATAGATTTTACTTAAAAGCCAAAAGACAATTTTTAAATCTAACATTTTATAACTACTAAATAGAAATTCCCTATTCAGTCGTAAACAACACTTCAAAACATGGCGATTTAAACTAACCTCATTCAACAAACAACTTAAAACGGTAAATTTTCCTTTTTTTATTATTTAAAAATAACAAGAATAGTTTTGTTTTAATATTAAAGTTAATTTAATTTATAGTGAATCATTTTAATTGTATATAATTTATATATAGTTTGTAATTGTAGGTAATTGTAATCATGCCTTCGGAAAACATTCAGTATTCAGAAAAATACAGTGATACTACTTACGAGTATAGACACGTAATTTTACCTGCAGACTTAGCAAAACTTGTTCCACGATCCCATCTTATGACTGAAACAGAATGGCGAAATCTAGGTGTCCAACAAAGTCCCAATTGGGTCCATTACATGTTACATGGTCCGGAACCGCACGTTTTACTGTTTCGAAGACCAATACCATCCGGAAATTAAAATGAAGGTTTTCTGACACTTTTACATGACAAAACGGAAGAATGGATCATTTATGGTGATATTAAGTAGGATTTTTGTTGAAAAAAATAAGAGTATTTGAGAATTTCAAGAAAGATTTATTTTTTAAATAGTTTATAACAAAAATGACATGTTTTGTTTGTTTTTTTTAGAATATAAAAAGTAATAATAAAACGTTAAAGTATTAATCCCATTAGCCCACAGAATACCAAAAGATTAAAAAAATTTGCTCAGTATCCTGAAATAAAAAATTATACGAGAAACAGACAAGATTTTTTTGATAATATTAACAATAATTGAGTATAATAATCCGCGTTTGCACCAAATTTTATAATTTAAACAGACGGATGAGTGGTGGATGAAATTATTTCATTATTTATGTGTACAGTGCGCAGCATTATTGAAGATCTTGATTTAATTAGCATTAGGATCTTGTGGAACTAAATAAGTAACCTTAATATTCTTTCCTAATGCAGTTTTTAGTTCTTTTTCTTTAAAGATATATTTCTTGGTATCAGGCAGTATTGCTTCGCCCACACTTGATGGCATGTTTAATACGGGTCCATCAAAAGGTTTAATATTTCTTAATCCTGTTGCATTTGGATTATAGGGAAGTTGAGCAAATTGATCCCAATTGGTTGTTGGAGCACTTTCGGGGCAATCCTGATCTGAACCTTTTTGATATTTTCTTAAAAACGGAAACTTCTTCACCAACTTATTTTCTTCGTATTTTTTTCCACCGGACGTATTTAATTTTTCAATATGAGCATTATATCTCATTTTCCATTTCATCATGTTTGATACTTTATTTCCGTACGGTTCGTGTTGGAATTTAACTGCTGTTTGATTTGCAAATGAAGTTTTTCTTTCAATACCTCTACATCTTTCTTCGGCCATTAATGAAGCTTGAGCTGACAGTCTTTCAGCCTCTCTTTTTTGTTGTTCAACAACCATCCTTTCTTTATACTCAGCCTCTTGTTCTGCTTGGAGGTCTTCTTCGGTTTTTTGATTTTTACGATTTTTCCGAAGTAAAGGATATCGATCGTAAATACTACCTTCTGTTGGAACATTAATAATAACCGATTTTTTATCATCCCATATTCTTTGCATTTTATATTCTTTACGTAAGCTTTTCTTTGGTGATTCGGAAAGTTCGTTGAAGACATCCGGTTGATCAGCAACTTTAATTGGCGGCTTTGCGTTCTTTTCTTCTTTTTGTTTTAAATAATACATAAGTAATGGTGAAACATTTCCAAATTTACGTTTATCTTCTTCTTCTTCGGCTTGTTTTAATCTCATTTTTCGTTCAGCAGTAAGATGTTCCAATTCAAGTGCTTGTTTCATCCGTCTCATTTCGCGTTCTTCCCTCGCTGGATCGCTTAAACCAAACTGAGAATCAAAATTTTCCAATTCGAGTGCTGGAGTAACATTTCTCATAATTTTTTTATGTGGTTTTTTCATGTACACTTTGTTGCCATATAATTCATTAGTGATTGTTGGTTCAGATGGAATCGGACAAAAATTATCATCACGTTGAAGTGTCTTCCAATAATCTTTTTTCTTTTGTCGAATCTCGCGATCATCGGTTGATTTTCGATAATGATCATCAAAACTATAAACAATTTTCGCTGTTTCCCCTTCATGTATCTTTTTTTCCGGTTCAATTTCCGGTTTTAATTCGTGGGTTGGTTTAACGGTGTCTAACACAGCGGAAGTTGACATTTCTGATGTTGGATGAGTTGAAAACACTTTATGACTTTTTTCAACACGTTCTATCATCATACTTTTATCTTCAACATTTGATCGTGGCCAAAGCATTCCTAAATGATTTGGAGTTGGTTTTGATCGATCCGGACTACGAATTTTTTTTTTCGGGTGTTTTATATTATCAAAAACGAAAGGTTTAGCTTGTGTTTCTTTCAATTTCATTTTATTAACCGTATTTAAGGTATAATCAACCGGATCGAGAGATGATTTTGCAAAATAATTTGGGGTTTTCTTTTGTTTTGGTGTTTTTGCAGGTGAGATTGTAGCTCCAGCTTCTAAACCAAAATTATCTTCAATTTCATCATGAATGTAGCTTGTTTTATATTTAGGTAGTTGTTCTTCAAGACTAACGTCTGGTGTGATCGTAATAGGAACGATACCTGTAATTAATAGCGTAAATTTTAAAATAAGGAAACTTATATTAAAGTATTCTGTATTATGTGTGTTACGCAGTGTTGTTAAATACCCGGGTATTTATTTTCAAGGATAAATATCCTGGATATATACCCACGGGTATTTACCCAAGATGGGTATTTTGAGGTATTTATAAATTTAATTTAAATGAGTTGATGGCAGTTTTGCAAGCACTTCAAGTATGCAGAGTCGCTTCGACATACCAAACTTATTTATAACATCTACAAGAATGCTACAATGACGGTAAAATTGCATGAAAGTACTGAAGAGAGTAAAAGTGGTACACTGTTGAACTCAAATTGTCCATCACAGTCCTCAAAGTGCATTTAAACAACTCGATTGGACCCAAAAAGGCATAAACATTGATTGCAAATGCTTAAATAATTTGCGCTACGCGGATGATATAGTTCTTATATCGGATAGCCTTGGAGAGATTAAACTAATGATGAACGACTTAAAGGAGGTGTGTGCAAGAGTCGTGCTAAATATCAACAAGGAGAAATCAAAATTTATGATAAATCTTGTTCCCAGCTCTAACATCAACATTGGGGATAATGAAATTGAGAGGGTTCACAGCTATGTATATCTTGGCTATGAGGTTCGTGCATCGAGAGATAATCAAACAAGCGAACTAAACAGAAGGATCTTAGAGACATCTTCAAGAGAAAAGGCCAAGAAAGGCTTTCAATCAATGCGTGTTTCCGGTTATGACATAAGGCTCCGAAACTTTAACATTAACGGTAACCACTGCCAGGAGGGTCCAAGTAGCGCAAAGAGAATGACCAACAATTGGATTCAAACAGCACAGAATAGGGAAGGTCTATGTCCAACAATGGGCGCAGAGGGCTGCTTGGTGATAATAATCATAATAACTTGATCTAATCTAAATTACGACAGATTCGTCTAATGATAATACGTCTTTGATTGTTGACAATTCCTTGTTTTCCTCTTCATTTTTATAGGAATCGATATATTTTTACTGGTATCACTTTTATAGCCACTGTTTGGGTATTTACCCTGGGCCGGGGTAAATACCCGGATAAATACCCATTTTTAAAATTTACCCAGCGCACATCACTGGTGTTACATAATTGCTAAATGTGCAGAAATCCATAGTCTACATCCACTCAAAATTGAAGCTATTATCAGTAAACTTGATAGTTACCAGATAAAATATTGAACTCAGTAAAAACGGATTGTCTCGGATTATTCGCGAGTGTTAATTAAAGAACATCTGACAGTTTCAACGGAACGAACAAAAAAGTAATTGAAGGGGAAGATAAGCTCACTGCCAGTATCATTGATCCCAGTCCTGCTGCCAATTTATCTCTGTTAGTCATTATTAACAAGAATGTGTTTAGTTCATCAGTTTTAAAGTTTTAGATCATCATCTGCTAAAGCCATCAGATATGTTAAATAACAAAGAGAATCTTATACAGATTCAACTCAAAATTTCTAATATAAACGACTTCACAATATTTACTGTGGCTTGTCTTCCAGTATTGAAACAACACTACTAAGTCTATTTCAATACTTAGTGTTGCCTTGTCACGGGATGTAAAGACTATTGTAACATCTCGTCTAGTCTCCTACGGCATCATTACTTATATTTTAGATGTGATAACAAATAGCCAGGTGTCTGAAGAACTGCGTCATTGTAGTAAGATATGGTATAGTCAGCAAACTACGGAAGCAATTGTTGATAACAACGGACAAAGACTACATTATCTGGGTACCGGATAACTCCTGAGTGTCGCACTCCAGCAAGATTATTTCAATCGAAGTTAATAAAAAGGAGATAGCGACAGAACTTTACTTGGACCGAAGGTGTAAAATAATATCATTTGATAGCGTCAGATTAACCAATACCAAGGCAAGAGTAGGAGAGTTAAATTTATTATCTGAAAAGGATACCAATAAAAGCGTAGCTTAACTCTACTTAGGTTATTGAAGTCATAGATCACGCTAAATAGGCGAAAGCATCAGAGCTTGGGCAACGATCCATGCCAAAAGTCAAGGCCCCTCACTTTACAGATCTATATCTTCGCAACCGTTCCATGAAAAACATTGCATTACAGTTTATTGTAATCGCTGAACATTTCTACGTAATATGTGAATTTGAAATCGTTCGGTTCCGCAGTTCTTTTTATCGCGAGGTAAATGAAAGGAGTACTCGATTTTTGAGGGTGTGAGAAACTTTTTTCACTTTGGGATTTTTTTTCTGAAAAACTAGCCGACGAAAAAACTTCAAATTTGAACAGATCGTAGTTCTAATAGGACGTGTTTAATGGGAGGCATATTTTATTCTTTCGATATTCCCTGTAGTTTCGCGGAAAATCGCGGTTTAGTAGGATGCGATTATGTCGAAAAGCACGATTTCAAGGTGATTTTGACCAAAATATGTCGAATAATTACATTTCTCGAATCACGTTATAAGTTTTTTAAAGTTATGTCTCTCTCTTTTTTTTTAGAGTACTTGAAGTTTTTTCATTGCTGTGATTTGTGTTGACTCTTGTACCATCATAACTGTTATCAGCGGATGTCTTAAGTCACTACCTTGTGGAATTCCTGCCATGATCGGTTTGAATGTTGAGTATACCCTTCACGTGACACTCTAAACTCTCTTTCAGAAAGATATAATTTTAGTAGTTTACAGTAGATTCCCGACAATTTTTTGCTCAACTTGTATACAAGTCTCTGGTGTTACACCCAGTCAAACACCTGTGAAACGTCTTGCATGACAGTATTTTTGCTCGTCAAATGTATTCTCTAATCGAATGTTACTCTATGCACTTGATCTATTGTAAATTGGCGATTTCGAAATCGAAACTGGCAATCTGCTTTGTTGACGAGTGGTTTAAGATGTTTTAACAATCCGACTTGCTTTGCCGGTTTGTCAGGTTTTTTGAGCATAATCGTCTGTGTCATCTTAAAACATTGCGGTACAGACTCGGTTTCAGACTCAAGCAAACATTAAACTGTAATGTCAACATAATGATTGCTTTTTTGGCAGTTCTTGTAATTAGGGATATTTCATAAATTCCAGGAGCATTTTTGGATTAATATTGTTGCACAAGTTTCACTTGTATTATATTCACTGTATCTATTGTTTGATTGAAGTACATTTAGCTAGATGTTGGGCAAATAATTTAGCTTTTTCATCGTTGCGTCTAACTCATTGATTTTGTGCATTTTTAACCGAAGGTTAATTAAGGTCGTTTTAATCTACGAGTGCCTTTCCATATCATATCTGTAATTTCAAAGAGGTAATTAACTCCTGTTATAACTTTTCATTTGCTGCGGGTGTCCCTTTTTTACTGTAGGGGTTTTGCAACTGCTCGAATTTGCATTTTGATCCTGAGCCCTAAGACTAAGGGGTTCCTATTTAAGAATGTTAATTTAGGCATGGTATCTCAATTTTGGGACATCTGTCCATCTCAATTTTATCTCAAAGATGCGCGTTAAAAATATAACATAGATGTCCAAGCCTTTTTTCTGGAAGAATATCCCCCGATTTTCTATTGAATTGATTCCATACTTTATGTACAGGTGTCCAAATTTCGATGGGTTTGCAGGGTATCTCAGTTATTATGAAAGATAGAAAGTTGCGGCTTTCGCGAACCTGAGCTACTATTTTGTGAAACTTACAATGGCGAAAACCAAATTTTCATAGCCCTCTTCGTTTTTGATATACAGGGAGTGTTTGAAATTTACGATTTTCAGACACCTCCTGTATCTAGGTTCTCCGGAAACTTAGTAAAAAAGTAAAAACGGGTTCTAATAGATTTTTTCATGTGGAATCCAATGGTGCATGTAGAATTTTTCTAGTCACCATGGTTTTTGAGTTATAAACACAACTCAAATACTGAATACTCAACTTCTAAAATACGTAACTCTTTATAACTCTAAAACCGTGATGACTAGAAAAATTCTATGTGCACCATTGGATTTTACGTGAAAAAATCTATTAGAACCCGTTTTTACGTTTCCGGATAGCCGAGATACAGGAGGTGTCTGAATATCGGAAATTTTGAAACACTCCTGTATATTAAAAACGAAGAGGTTTCAACTTTCTATCTTTCATAATAACTGACATACCCTGCAAACCTATCGAAATTTGGACACCCTGTACAAAGTGGTAGTTTTGAACCAGTTCTAAGCTTGGATAAAGTGTGCAGGAAGGTTCTAGGTAATAACATTTTTGTGCTCTCTTATTTGTTTGCTAAGGTAACGTGATCCGATTAAGATATACGAATTTTGAACATTTTATTCTTTAGTTCCAGCACGAATGGCGATATCGAGATGCGGTTTTCACTAATATTCAGCAAATTTTAAGGTAACTGATTTGAGGGTCTGTGAAGTTCCGTTCCATTTAACCTTCTTTCAAAACTCGCAAAAATATTTAATCGCTGCAGATAACGCCCCTTAGCTTATTTGATTTAATCCAATCGGTCTTTCTGAAAATATCGTTAAAAAAAGAGCATAAGAAAATGCTCTTTCATACAAGACCAAAAATATTCAAATCGGTTGAATGGTCCAGGAGATAATAAAATGTACCTAAACATTTGAAAACGGATTGGCTTCCCCCTCCCTTATTATGATAGATATGAGCAATATTGCAAAACAAAAGCGATGCGGTATTATCCAAACTATTAAATGATATTATCAAAGTTATAGCTCATCGTCTAACTTTCTGAGATAGCGGGAATTTTATGGGTCTCTATGACAGCTACGCCCCTAGCGGTTGAATTAGGAACTTCAAAATAATTTGCAGCTATTTCTCTTGCCCACTTTGCCTATAAAGACTTTTTACCCAAACCTCTAGCCCTTACCGTTGTCGAGATACAGCCGTTCCGTACCCTTAACGGGACACCCTGTACAGGGTGGGCAAATTTGGGTGTTATTATAGGCTATCTCAGAAACTATAAGAGATCGAAAAAAGTAGGTGCCATGTCCCGGTCTCTTTTTTCGAGACTAACCCAATCCCGCAAACACCAAACCTCTATCTTCTTTTGTTTTTAAGTTATAGCCAAAAAGTCAAATTTTCGTGATTTCAAAAAATGCTCATATTTCGTTTATTTTTGAAATTTGAGAAATGGGGTTGATACGTTCTTAAGGCACTTTTTTAAGTAGAATATACTGCCGTTGAAAAATTTTAAAAATATTTGATGATTTTTGAGATACAAGACAAAGTTGTAGTTTTTTAAATACAAACTATAGTAGATTATGGTGTTACTGAGAAGAGCATGTTTTTAGCTTTCCAATGATGTATGCACGCATGGTGTATTTGGGGAAAATAAGCGTTATTTTTTAATTCTAATTCTAATGAATTTTGTGATGTCGCAGAGGTTCAATATAAAAAACTTCTTGCATACAGCAAAACATGTCGGAATTATTTTACCCGCTTTTTAATCACGATAACACGATAAACATTAGAACTACCAATCAGAAGAAAATGCATACGAAGAAAAATTTAAATATTTTGTTATGTAAATGTTCAATCGCGGCTTGTAATTAAAAAAGGAGATGTGGCATGTACTACTTCTTAATTGGTGGACAACAGTTTATATACAGTGTGTTAATTAATTATTGTACCCGACATCACAGTATTGGTATTGAATACGGAAATCGCGTATACGTGATATTGGTTGCATACTTGCAATGATGGCGTCGGGTACGATAATTAGTTAACACACTGTATATGACCCATAATCTATGTTTATAATAAAATATACAGTAACAGTCATGCTTGTACCTGTGTACGTATCACGTAATACAGCAGACAAGTACCCTTGATGCGTTACAAAAAAAAATATTACCTTTTTTAAGTTTCAGCGTTCTAGTTGAAGACAAATCCTCATTTACCCTTCTATAACGCAATTTCCGTCTACGATATCTAGTGGATGGTTCTTGTAATTCAGTTTCTACTTTATTCATTTCATTTATTTGATCAGTAACCGATTGATCCTCCTCTACATCGATATATCTATTAATATCTAATACATTTGAAACTTTAAGATTTTTTGCAAGATTAACATCTTCTGTAATATCCGATAAATCATCTTGTTTTTCTTTAATTTTTGCCGGTAACGATTTCTTTGAACCTTTTATTTCCTTTTTATCCTCAACATTTTCATTCAATGTTTTATTAATGTGATAATTAGAATAATAACTTTGACTTGCTTTAATCATATTTGTATCAATATCTGATAATGTTTTTGAGCGATTGCGTAAGTTTTGTGGAGAATATTTAGGTTTATCAACTCTTACGTTATCCGTTGAAACTGAGTTAGAAATGTCTTCAAACGGTTTCGATATCAACAAACTTATATTAGGTTTGGCTTTTAACTCATCAGATTTTTTATGATGTTCTTGTTGCTGAATGGTTCTAACCTCAAATAGTTTGCTGATTATAGCGGCTGACTTCTGCCGTCTCTCGTGTTCTGTTTTACTTAAAACTTCATTTTCTAATTCATCTTCTTCAGTTTTTTCGAGATTATTTTTTTGTGAACTCCGTTGTATTTTGACGTTCTCTATTCGTTGATTAAGTAATTCTTCGTAAATTTTATTAATTGGTTTCCTTTCAAACGGTTCAAATTTTAATTCGTTGCCTTTTGGACGTTTTTGTTCGGGTTTGAAATCTTTTTTTAAGTTTTCTTGAGATTTTTTAACTTGAATTACAGCTTTAGTTTGTTCGGGAAGTGCTGGTGGTGGATACTCAAAGTTATTAAAAATATGTTCTTTTTCATCTTCACCAGATAATCGCTTTTCTTCGACAATTCTTTTCTTTTCTTCAAGAATAATTTTTTTCTTGTCTTCAGCAAGTTTTTTCCTTTCTTCTTCAATTTTTTTCCTTTCTTCATCAATTTTTTTCTTTTCTTCATCAATTCTTTTCTTTTCTTCTGCCAATTTTTTGTTTTCTTCTGCCACTTTCTTTTCCTCAGCTTTTTTAACTTCTTTAAACTCTTCAGCAACTTTTTTAATTTCTTTGGTTTCTTGTTCCATAGTTTTAGCTTTTTTGAGATCTTCAACAAGTTCAATAGTATTTTCTGTATTAGTTTCCGTTTTTGATGAGAACATAGCCGGTTCCATATAATTAAATTCATAAGATTTAATAATATTTCCAGATTTTGGGGTTATTGGTTCTGTTTTTACAGGAGCTGCTTCTGCCTTATAACATTGTTGAGTATTCCTTAAAGGTTTAAATTCAAACGATTTTTGTACGGATAAAGTTGTTTTTGATGGTGCTTTTTCGAACACTTTCTCTTGACACTCATTTGCCATCAAGCGTAATTGGGAATCTTTTGAATCTTTAGCATCAATTCTAATGTCATCTTCATGCTGTTTATTAGCTTCAATATCTTTAACTTTTATCTCTTTTCTTGGTGATTTTGATCGAATCGGAAGTTGCGGTTGAGTTTGTAACACTTGAATTGGATTAGTATTTGAACTAGTTTGTTTTTTAGGTGCTTTGGATTCAAGTTGCTGTATTTTTTCTTGTAGTTGTACTTTTTCATCGAGTCGGCAATCAAATTGGGGATGTTGAATCTGAGCAGTTGATCTTAAAACCATGGTTTGTCTGTGATCAGAATTGTTTAAAACAGGCGATTTTTGAAGAACACTTTGAAGACTTTTAGGGTCACCACTTTCTTGTTTAACACGAATGTTCTTCTTAATAGATTCATCATGTTGAATAGCTTTAAATTGATTGAGTGCTTTGAACTTAGAATCGAGTAATTTGTAAGTTGTTGGAAGATTAGGTTCTTTTACATCATTTTTAATTTGAAGAGAAGGTTTCATCATACGTTGTTTTTTGAAAAATAGTTGATCCATCATTGCTTTTGGTGCCGATTTTTTTTGCAAATTCCCTTCTTCCGATTTCATTGGCTTTGGCGGAATAACTTTTTCCAGCACTTTTAAAGCAATTTGTTTTCTTGAAAATAATTGATCTTTCTGTTGTAGTTTTTGATAATAATTTAATTCTTCTGATCTCATTGGTTTAGGTGGATTAATCTTCTCTTGTTTTGGCGGATTAATCTTTTCTTGTTTTGGTATAACTGGTGGCTTTAAATTCAATGGGGATGGTATTGGACTTAAAAGCGGTGGCGGTGGTTGATTCAATCCTAATGATGTTTGAGTCAATCCTGGTGATATTTGAGTCAATCCGGGAGATGTTTGAGTCAATCCTGGTGATATTTGACCCAATTCAAATGATGATTGATTTGTTTCTTTTAAATTCATTATTGGTTTTAAATTTTGAGTTGCATGTTCAATGCCAACTTTTACAGATTCTTTATTTTTGGTGGCATCACTTTTAATCGAACTTTTAGTTTCGGGTGGTCCAGAAGATACAAACTTCGCTTCGAACTCATCAAATTCTTGTTCAAGTTTATGAGTGGATTTTCTTCCAATTTCAATATCTTCTCTTATTAATAATTTACAATTACCCAATGGGTTATTATTAGGTGATGCCTTTTTCTCCGTAAAAATTTCATCCAAAAGAATGTCTTGATTTTCGATTTCTGATTTTTCCAATATTTCTTCAGTAACTTTTATTGCAGATTCTTTTGGTGCTGATTTGAACGTATTTGAATGAATTTCGTTTCGTTGCAGACTCTTTTGAATAGTTTTCTGCACATTTTTTTCGATATCGTTAAAAGTTACAAATTCATTCTTTGGCGTCATTTTCCTTTCCTCTTTAACAGTAGGAGGTTTGATTTCCTCTACATAAATATTTTCGGTTGCCGTTAATTTTAAATAATTCTCTTCGGGTTTAAATTGAAAAACTGGTGGTTTCTTACTAAGTTGAATTAAATCGGGATCTGATTTCACTGCATCTGGTATGGGAAGTGTTATCATTGGTTTTTCATAATCACCAAATTGTTCCCAATTACGTTTAGGTAGTTTTGGAGTACCTGGTTTTATTTCAAATGCTAAAGCTTTTATTTTATCATCTTTAAAACCCAACAATTGTTCCATGTTCGATTCTGGTTTTGGTTTACCTGTAATGATAAAATAATTAATCATAATAGTAACTACTCGTTACCATTCAATTAGTAATTGCATAAGTACAGGTTTAAGATAAATCTTAATCCCTAACCATCGTAGTGATTTCAAGTCACACTGCTATCGATATACGTAGCTATTTTGGGACCATACTACGATGGTTAAGGATTAAATAAAATAAGAACCAATGTGTAATAGAGTCTAAATGATAAATTGAATTTTAAAGGCAGGATAAAATATAACAAATTTTGGAAAACATCAAGTCTGTTAACAATAAAAATAGAAATAAAATAAAATCGCTGCTTGTGAAGTAGTGATAGTACTCTTCGGTGTGATATCAAGTGGTCAAGATGTCAAAATGGACTACCACTACGTAAGAACGAATATTCGCCATCGACAATGTCTATAGTAAAGTATTTTGTTTTGATTTGCTACTGAACCCAATGTAGTTTCCAGAGTTCAGCCCGATATTCAGTTACTTTTTTGTGTCTTAATGTTCCACCTCGGCAGCTGTTCTGACGTTGTTCTTTTGCTTTGAGATTCTTCATCTGAAATTGGTTCTAACCAGAATGTGGTTACTGTCTGCGTCCAGACCCCGTAAACTTCTAACGTCGTTAATACTGCTGCCACGACTTGCATAAATCAGAACATGATCAATCTAGTTTATCGTTATTACGCCATTAGAGTTGACTAAACATCGTTGACCAGTCTAAATCCGTTATCATTGCATTGTTCGTGTAGGCTATTTACTCATGTTTACTCATGTTGGGTTTGAAAACCTCTTCTCTTCCCAGCTTTGTATACAGTCTCATATAAGATGTGCTACATCTTGTTTACTCAAAGACACAATAAGAGTACCTAGTTGGCCATAGAATATATCTAATTGCATCATCCTTTTCTTCGGTTGGTGAATAGATTTATAGCATCGAGATCTTGTTAGTTTTCTAACAGGTGTGCTTTTTACAAGGTCACATTGATCAGATTCACAGAATTACAGATTAAATCAAGAAGTCCCCAAAAAACAAGCAATCTTGCTCAGCGATTTTTCTTGATATACTCATGCTTTTGATAAGGATTGGAACCAAAGATTAATTCTTAAACTAAATAAAATGCCACCAGCTCAATATTTCTAGCTAAAAAAACGACTTAACCTACAGACTTTTTCCTTCAACATTTTGGTGATTATCCTGTTAATTATTAAGATTTATAAGCTAAGAAAGAGGCAAATTTCGGTAATAAAATTCAATATCAATATTAGAATTGATACGATACCGATTTGTAACTTTCATAAATACAAAACAAAGTTCTTACATACCACCGTTACTATTATCCGAACATCCTGATGATTGTGGAGGAGGTATTGAACCCGGCGATGGTTGCCTTATAAAATCTGATTGCGGTCTCAGCGACGAAGTCTTCTCAGGAACAACAACTTTTTTCATTTCACTCGGTGGTTTGGCTTCGTGAACCATTTCACTTTTTTCAATCGTTTTAATTTCTTGAATCACCTTTTTCGTTTCAATTGATTGTTTAACTTCTTCAACCATTTTGGCTTCTTGTGCAATCTCTTTTTTTGGTTTAATTTCTACAACCGTGTTAGCTACTTGTGCAATCTCTTTTTTTGGTTTTACATCTCCAACCGTTTTAGCTTCATGTGCAATCTCTTTCTTTGTTTCAACTGGTGGTTTAACTTCAACCATTTTGGCTTCTTGTGCAATCTCTTTTTTTGGTTTAATTTCTCCAACCGTTTTAGCTTCTTGTGCAATCTCTTTTTTTGGTTTTACATCTCCAACCGTTTTAGCTTCTTGTGCAATCTCTTTTGTTGGTTTAATTTCCCCAACCGTTTTAGCTTCTTGTGCAACCTCTTTCTTTGTTTCAACTGGTTGTTTAACTTCTTCGATCTTTTTAACATGTTTAATTACTTTTGATTCAATGGGTTTCACTTCTTTTTCAACCATTTTAGTATCAGATACGATACTTTGCGTTTCAATGGGCGGCTTAATTTCAGTATCCTTTTGATTCACTTTAATTTCTTGTGCTATATCTTTTGCGTCTTTATTTTTTGTATCTTGTTGACTATTTGAATCATTTAAATTTATTAGGTCATTTAGACAGTTTTGATTTTTTACATCTTCTGTATTGCGTTTAGGTTTAGACGCATTTTGAAAATGTATTTTTACAGTTTTATCGAGTATATTTTGATTTTGTATCGTTGACTCTAAACTTGGTGTTTCTTCAGTTGGATTTAAAACTGAATCATTTGAAATCGGATTGTTGGAAACAGAATCGTTTGTAGGGGAATCGTTTTTAGTTGAATTAGATATTTTGTCATCGATTAAACTAGCTTCTAAACTGGGTGGTTTTGATAAGTTATTATTAGTAAATAATGCTTGATTTGGAATTAAAACTTCAATTAATTTACGATCTCGTTTTCTACGAGTCAAATTTGATTGTACTTTTATTTCTTTTGTGATTACCAACGTATCATCTTTATCTTCCGGTATTAATTCAGCTTCTTCTTCTTTATCTTCCTTATTAATAATATCGGGAGTATCCTCAACAAATTCGGTTCTGACATATTTTCGGCGATTTTCCGTTGATTTCTCAGAGTTTTTATCAATAATATACGCGATATCACCATCTAAAATTTCGCTTTTTGTACAAGATACATTTCTTACTTGTCTATCTACTTTTGCTGGTGGCTCATTAGTACTTGAAAACGAAACTTTATTTTCTTCCAATGATTTTGTTTCAACATTTTTAACGTTATTCGTTTCAAGAAGTATAGGAACAGCTTCGGCGTTGTCATTGTAATTCATTACATTCGGCACAAAAGGAAAAATGTTTTTTATACTCTTTCTTAAATCATCCGAATTATTAATTTCAATCTTCTCTGTCTCAATTATCGGTTCAACTTTAATCTTTAAATCGCTTTTATTTATTAAATCAACTTTATCGTTTTCAATTCTTGGATCTTTTAATTTCACCTCATCATTTTTAACTTGTTTATTAAAACCGATTTTACTCATCAAAGCATTTGAATTACTAAAAAGTTTTTCGAAAAATTGATTGGGTTTACTTCCTTCTTTGAATTGGATTCGGGCAATTACATTGTTTTCGTTATAATTAACGTTAATTACGTCTGCGATGTGTTCGGGATTTTTGTCATTATTTTTAACTATTTCTTCTTTAACTTTTGATACCTCCTCTTTATTCCTTTCTTGTAATTTTTGTGTTGATGATGTTTTAATTGTGGTGAGCTGATTTTTTTGAACACCTTGAGCATTCAAATCAGTAATCTGGGAGACTTTAGGAAATTTGTCAAGTCTTTGTAATTTCAATTCTTCAGATTTCTTGAAATTTAGAGGAGCTTGATTCTTATTTTCAGGTTTTTTAATCAAATCTTCAGATTTTTTATTTAAATCTTCAGACTTTTTATTTAAATCTTCAGATTTTTTATTTAAATCTTCAGATTTTTTATTCGAATCTTCAGACTTTTTATTCAAAACATCAGATTTTTTAATCAAACTCAGACTTTTTTGATTCAAATTTGTTGACGATTGATTCAAATTTTCAGTTTTTTGATTAAAATCTTGATCTTTTTTAGTCAAATTTTCAGGTTTTTGTGATTGTTGGATTGCTTGATATCCAACGTGTTTTATATCTGGTACTTTTTCAATGTTTTGAACCTTTTGCAAGTTTTGAACTTTTTGAATTTGTTGTTCTTTTTGAATTTCTTGTACATTTTCTAATTTTTGTACATTTGGCAATTCTTGTATGTTTTTACATTTTTGCACATTTTTAGATTCGTTTTTAATTTCTCCAATTTTTGTAAAATCTGGTACATTTTTAAATTCTTGAACTTTAGCAAATTTACGTTTTTGAACTTTTGTACGTCTTGGTACATTTTTGAAATCTTGATCCTTTACAAATTCTTGTGCACTTTTTTTAGGTTCTTGAAGACTTGCAAACGCCGGTATATTTTCAAATTCTTCGACACTTTCTAACTCATTGATCTTCTTAAAATCTTGGGTTTTTCCAAACTCTTGAACCTTTCCAAAGTTTTGAACCGTTTCTAATTCTTGACCCTTCTTGAACTCTTGAACGTTCGAACAATTTTTCACATCATCCATTTTCCTCAATTCCTCATCTCTTCTAAGCTCAATTCTTTTCTGAAACTCTTGAATCATCTGAAATTCCCGATTTTCTTGAATATCTTCGTGATCTTCATCAGATATATTAAAATCATAGTCTTTATTCACTTCCTGCTCTTTCTTACTTTGTGCAGTAGAAGCTTGAAGACTTTGATTTTCAGCCCGAACACTTTGAATTATTTTAACATCTTGATCCTTTTTAAGTTGATTTCTTTTCAGTAAGTTTACATTTTCTACAACTTTTTTACGTGCATCTTGAATTTTCTTTATTTCTTGTTCTCTTTTGAAATCAGATTTAGATTGAATACTTTCATAAAACTGTAGAACTTTTTGAACGGTTTCTTGAGTTTTCTTTTGATTTTCTTTTTGATCAAGTTTCTTTACATCAGGTTCTCCACTAAATTCAACTTTTTGAGCATCCTCTTGATTCCTTTTAACATCATTTTTAAATGCAACTTCTTTCGGAATATCTTGTATTGTTTGAACTTCTCGAGCATCATGATTTTTATTTTCTTCTTTAAATTTGAAGTTATTTTCAAAATCTTTTTGAATATTTTTAAATTCAAATTTCTTTGGAATATGTGTTACTTCTTGCACATTTTGTTTTCTTTCAAGTTCCAATCTCCTCTCTAATTCTTGTTTTTCTTGAAATTGTTGCACTTTTTGTACAGCTTCTTGAATCTTCTTTATTTCTTCTTCTCTTTTCAGCTCCATTTTTTTCAGATATTCTTGATTTTCTTGAAATTGTTGAATTTTTCGAGATGCTTCTTCAATTTTCTTCAGCTCTTCTTCTCGTTTACGTTCAAGATTTCTTTGAAATTCTTGAAGAGTATGAACTTTTTGAGACTCATTTTGAGCTTCAATTTGTATTTTATTTTGAACTCCACTTTGAGTTGTATTTACAGTTGCATTTTGAGCTACATTTTGAACTCCACTTTGAGTTGTATTTACAGTTGCATTTTGAGCTACATTTTGAACTCCACTTTGAGTTGTATTTATAGTTGCATTTTGAACTCCACTTTGAGCTGTATTTACAGTTGCATTTCGAATTACATTTTGAGTTGCATTTAGTGTAGAACTTTGAATTGCATTTTGAGCTACATTTTGAGTTTCATTTCGAATTACATTTTGAGTTTCATTTTGAGTTGCATTTAGTCTAGAATTTTGAATTGCATTTTGAATCACATTTCGAGATTCATTTCGACTTTCATTTCGAGATACACTCTGAGTATCAAAAACCTTTTCTTTAACTTCAGTTGAAATCGATTCTTTCAAATCGGTAACATTAAAATCAGAGGAGACATCTTTAAAATTAACCTTCTTAATTTTTTCATGGACATTTCCCGATTCCACATCTAATTTTTCGTTGTTCTTTTTAGCCCTTATATTTCCTTTGGAAGATCTTCTTGATAAACCACCACCTCCTCCTCTACCTTTCCCTTTCCTACCTTTCTCTTTCGTTTTTGCCACCTTTTCATTCAAAGTTTTATTTAAATTTTCATTCAAATTCGATTTATCTTTTATTTCAAGTATATAATCCTTTAATTGAATACGTTTTACTGGTTTGTTAACCACTAAATTTTCTCTCGCTTGAGATGGTTTAACTCCATCATCTCTTAACTGTATTCTTTTAACAAGTCGAGGTTCTACTTTTTCGACATCTTTTTGGTCAATATTTCCTTCATTCTCACTTATAATTTTTTTAGTTTTCCATTCTATTTTATTACAAAAATTTAATTTCTCTTCTTTTAACTGTATTTTCTTGAATTTTCCTTGTTTGTTAAGTTTATTATCCTTATTTTCTTTACCATATTCTCGATTAAAATATCTTTCCTTAAATTGTTCCAATTCAAGTATTTCGCGTTCATATTGTTTCTGATCAATTAATTCCTGATTTTCTGCTTCAACATCATCGCTGTTATAAATTAATTCTCTCACTGAATTAATGTCTTGTTTTGGTTCTGTTATTTTGGATTTTGTTTGCACAATGCTTAATTTAAGCGAATCTTCTTCGAGACTTGATGGAGCATCAAAATCAAGGTATGATTCTATCGGTAAATCGAGCACTTTAACGATTGAGACGAACTCATTAAAGTTTTCAATTTTATTAATTTCACTAGGATCTTCTTGGTAATATTTAACGATATCTTCGTCATCGTCTTCATCGTGATCAATCATTTTCGCCTCTTCTTTCAGTTGTTTTATAGCCAAATTAGCACTTTTCCATAAATCCATTTCATTTTCGTGTAATTCGATTTCGTCTTCAATTTCCTCTCTAACATCGTCAACATCGATGTCTTCTTCCTCTAGTGGCAACGAAACAAATTCGTATTGGGGTACAACGCGAAGTGGATTGTTCTCAACAAGTTTTGTGTTGAAAGCTGGCTCTAAGTTGTCTCGTAAATTATGTAACTGGATTGGATCAATTTGAGAAACAAAGCCAGCTGCGACCGATTTTGGAATGTCGTATAATTTCTTTTGAACGTCCATTAATGTACTGATATCGATTCTGGGGAAAGGCTTTTTCTTCTCTTTTGGTGGTGTTAATTTTTCGGTTACTTGAATTAATTGATCTGAATCGATGGCTTTGAATTGTAAGCTTCGTTGTAATTTTAAAACACGATCGGGATCGATACAAACTGAAGCGCTTTTTTCAGTGGCTAAATTTGAAATTTGTTTAATATCAATCATTTTATTACTTTTCGATGGATGTTGCATTAAAACGGTTGGGATTTTTGAACTTGAAATGGGAAGTTTGTTGCTTCCACAATTTTTTGGTATATAAATGTTTAAAAGAATCTTTTTTTGATTTTCCGTTGTAACAGCTATGTTTGTGTCACTTTTTGGTTTTCTTTTGGGTAAAACATATTCAGCTATTTTACCATCATCAATTATATCAAAACTACCACTACTTGGAACCAAACTGCTCGTACTCAGGGATTTTAATTGCGTTTTAATTTCTTTTAATTCTTTTTCAATGTTAATTAATTTTTGATTAGGGAATTTTTGTGATGGATGATATTTATTATCATAATATTCGTCATCGTAATTATCTAATTCTTCGAGGCATGACATGTAACTGTGTGATTCAGGGAAAACTAAAACGTTAGCTTCCACTGGTTCCAATGTTAAATGATCTGTGGGTTTATCCATTAACCTTGTTACTAAATCAGCAACAGATGGTTCAACATAATCTTCTTGGCTATACAATTCTTGATTAAAACTTTCAATAATCGCTTCATTATTCAAATCTCGTTCATGACGATTATATTCACTATCGGAGCATTTTTGAACGCTCAAAATTTCTTCACCGTCCTCATCCATTTCTGGATCAAAATTGTATACATCTTTCTTCATTCTTTTCAATGAATATTCTCTGAATTGATCTGAATTATTTTTTTGGTCCGTTTCTTTATAATTATTATTATTTGGTCCTTTAAAACGTTTATCACCCGAAGCTGCAACCACAAAATCAGAAACAACCGAATTTGAAGATTGCGTAGGTGTTGTAATAATAAAATCAGATTGTACAGTTTTGGTTGAAGAACTTGGTTCCTTTATTGAATCGGCAATCATTAAATTAAGAGATTCTTGTTCTATGTTTGAACTCAACTGATCAGAATTAAGTTTATTTTGAACTTGTTCAGTTAAAATCTCGATAAAACTTTTATTTCCTCGACTATCCTCGCTGTTAGTTACTTTCGTTGTTTCTAAAGCAATATCGTCTTTAATCGCAATTAAGTTCTTATTATCATTATCACGACTTCTATTAAATAAACTATTATAAATCGCTTCAATACTAAACCCACCAAATAAATTATTCGTTTTTGATTCGCTTGATTTAGTTTTAGGTTCGTCCCGTTTATCAAAAATCATAACGTTTTGAAGATATTCTTCGAAGATTTTGAATGCCCTCCAATTTGATTCTAAAATATCAGTTCTTTGCTGAATATCTTTCATTTGCTCTTCAGTAAGATCCGATTTGAGTCCTTTAGGAGTTTTTATTTTATTTTCATCTTCGATTTTTTCTCGTAACATCATCATTTCATCGGGTGGGGAAGTGATGTTAGTTGCGGGTACAACTTGGTGGACATTCAACTTTTCATTTTCTTCGTTATCGCGTTTTGCATTGAAAATAGCCGGTTGCATTTCATTTTCTAATAATTCGATTATATCACCGATTCCACTCGCGTGCTTTTTCTCCCATAAACTTTTAATAACCGTGTTTTGTATCCTCGCTGAAGTATTACTACAAATCTCATCAAAGTTTAAACGTTTTACTACAGGAAAAAGTGTTCTCAATCTATTTTTAGTCCGTAACACTTCCTCGATGTCTCGTAAATTCTGCTGGATCAAAATCTGAGTGACTTTTTGTTCCAATTTGTTAAAAGCCAGCTCATTTACTTTTATTACGTCGGCGTCCATTCGATTTTGGCTATCGATATCCTTATATTCATTATCAGATAAGTAAGACAAGCTGGTTATATCTCTCGTGATTATCCGATAAATTTTTTTCTGCAATTTTTTCTCTAAATTAGATTCGAATGCTTGCCAACTCGACAGCCTCCTACAACATATGTGATGACGGGCGTGCCACCTTTTAAATGTAGTTGTACATGTAGCAGAATTCGTTAATCGTTCCAATTTATCGGTGTACGTATAAGTTCTATAACTAATCTCTTGTTTTAAATCCGCGACAAAATCTTTCGTTGCCAAATCGATTGTATCATCGTGAGCCAAAAGAGATTTTTTGAAATTGTGAACTCCTGCACTACTCTATAAAACAAATAATATATATTAATATTATATTTTAAAACAAAAATCTTTATCTTTAATTTACGATATAAAATGATTACTTTATTTCTAGTAATAATTTCGGAATTACGTTATCAATTTTACAGGAATATGTAATTATTTTCAATTACACCTATTAAAAGATAATCACTCAATAGGTTCACCTTCAATGTTATGACAATCTACAACACTCGATCCAATGTGAACATCCAAATCAGATCACAGATTTCTAAAGAAAAGTCGTAATGCCCGTTTATTAATTGTGACCCACAATAATATCTACACCAGCAGATTACGATTGTTGATAAGCACTTAAGGTGATCCTGAAGGCACTGCCATAAGTATTAATGATTTACCGAACCGCGACAACAAAGCCCTTAGTGGAATACTCCGAACATCAAAGAAGAAACAGATTCTTTCATACTTCAAAAACTGTGCAAGATGATTTTACTGAATATCTCAGGTTATACTTCAATGGCTTATTAATATTCGCGTTAAAGAAATTGATTAGAATCCTCATTGGAAACTTTCTAAGAGTTTTTTTGGAAACGAGGATTGCCCATTTGAAAAGAAATTTTTATGTGCAACCTGAGAACTTCTTATAAACAAATGTTGCTACAACTAAATCGTCAAAATGAAGGAGCTGCTGGAGGAAATTAACATTTTCTCGGCTAACAGAAAGATCAAGACAAAGGATTGCCACAACTACGGGCCTTAACAATTTTGTGCTTTCTGGGTATGAGATGGTATAACATAAAAATAACATTATCATTAAACCTTCCCGAACATTCAACATGCACGGTAATAAAACAAAAGGTTGACTCATTAATTATCCCAATTTGGGATAATAAAAATTAAAAATCGATGTGTTTTGGCTCATGACGATATCTCGAACTGTTTTCCGTTACTTTTGACACGGACTTTTGGAACGAAACTGAAATATGCCAGATATATCTTAAGCTTAATGTTAATCACAATTATCTTAACTACATAGTTTCTACTTTCTGTTTTAATTTTAGAAAAGATATTTTTTATTATGATGTCGGATATTTGTAGAAACCATATGAAACTTGTTTGGTATCAAAAGAGAGTATAACGAAAATTGTGGAGAATATCTTAAAGGATCGACTGATAAGATGGAGGTGGATTCTATAAAAGAAATGTTTCAGAGACCTTGTGACAATGTCTTATGGCGACAACTTTACAAGGATGCATTGATCACGCTGAAAAGCGCATGGGCACACTTCACATGGGACTGTGAACGCTATAAAACCCATTTACTACTTCTCATTGATTTGGGTGGTGAAACTCAAAATAATAATTAAAGCTTTAATTCTATTGTTTGGCGATTAGCCCCCAAAAATCTACACTGAGGTCTACCATCATTTAGATTCATAAATAAGTTCTAAGAATTATAACCAGATGCGCTTGAAAACGTTAAGAAAACAGTTGAATGTTGTTCAGTGATTGATTTTGCTGATCTGAAAAAGTGAGAACTGGAAATAAATACTCTGTTTTTAAACCAGGAGGAGTAAACGTGAAAGTCAGATTTACACTAGGAAAAATCACCAGAAAATATCACTAGATATTTTGGCGGTAAATTTAAATTAATAATTATTGTTATTTATTTTATTACTTATTATTGTATTTATTTTCGTTTGTTATCGTCAACACTAAACATACAAATTAACATTGAAGTTATGAGTGTATTTATTTTAAAATATAATAAAGAAGGTGTTATAGAATGTATCCATTTTTAGTTATTTTCAATATTTCGAGGTTGACAACACGAGAAGCGGAAGAAAGCAGCGTGAGACACAAAAGCCGTTAAGATGAAGCATCATTTACGTTGTTGTTATAAAAGTTGTTTTTTGTATCAGTAAAAATAGAAATAAAGGATTTTCTTATTTAAAGAAAGAATTTCTATTGACGTGTTTTATGATACGTTAACAGAAGGGTTTAAGAACACAAAAATTACAATGGGCGCGTTCACCAATTGTCAACGTTTGCAAACACAGAGCAAACTGTTGGCAACACTTCTGGTGAACGCAACGCTAACTTCAAACGTGTTTGGTAAACGGCCGCCATTTTATCAATCGTATGATTTTTCCGTTAGCAAACGCAAACGGTGTTTGGTGTCATCTTAAATTTAAAATCAACAAAAAAGAATGGCAGAAGCCCGAAATTATTTATTTAATGGGTTAGTGTGTATTATCTTTGAAAATGAAGGAATTCATGATAAATTGAGAGGTATGTACCTATAAATTAATTAAAATTGTAAATAATTGTCATTAAAGCGCCATCTGTTGTTATCAAACCATATGTCTATAGAAAAATTGGACGTTCACCAAATCACCAACGCAATCGTAATCCGTTTGCGTTTGCCAAAGTAAACGGAATTCTCTGGTGAACGCGCCCAATAATGACACGAAACGGTCGAACGATCAATAACCTAACCTAACCTTCAAATTCAAAATTGCCTGTGTGTGAACCTTCCTCACATTCAACCAATCACATGCAAGGTCAATCTGGTGATAAATTTAAAATACTCCTGGTTTAAAAACAGAGTATAGATTGAAACGAAGAAATAGTTACGGACATACATAAACTCGGAAACTGTTTGCAAATTTTCTTAACCCTCGTAAAAACAAGTTTCCGGAGTGAACTAAAATATATCAAAGCGTATATTAAACTGAAAAGGGGAATTTTAACATTTAATTTTCATATAAATCGTTTTTTAATTTCCACAAATTAGGTTTGAATTTCATCCCATTCTTAAAAAATTTACTTACTAATGTATCTATATGAACAAAAAAATGATTCTTATATCAAATTAAAAAGGACATTTTAAAGTTTATACACCATTTTTCAATTCCGGTAAACTCGATCGATTCAATGATTTGAAGTTGCTGTTAGAAATTTTTATTTATTAAGTAATTCGTATTATAGCATAATTAAGAAAACGTCTTTCTATCTTATCTATTTAATTCATGTTAGCTAAGAAATGAGTTTTATATTAAAATGAAAGGAAGATTCTTAACTTTAAATTGACATGTAAATTTTTTTAATTCCCATAAATGCGATCTGGGTGAATTGCCAAAGTTTGTGTTCGATTTTAACTTTTCTGTATTTCATTGAATTTCGACACATTCTTTAAAAAAATCGTAACTTTTATGTTTATCCAAATGGAAATGGATTTTTTATATATCAAAGGAAAAAGAAAATTTCAAACTTTAATTTGATACACAGGCTGGTCCATTACTGATGGGACACAGAGCAACAGTGAATTCCGTACATTAAATTATTACGATTTAACAAAATTTATCTTAGTCCAATTGTTAATAATAACGAAGATATAGATTGTTAAAGTTAATACTTTATTTTCGTTTTTCTTTAATAATTTTCACTGTCAATTAGCATTAATACTCTAGTATTAATGGCTACCACCCAAATCAATTGGCATTAATAAACTAAATCAATTGGCATAATACTAGAGTATTAATGCTAATTGACAGTGTTAGTCTAGTGTTTGAGCAAATAAAATCATTTTCAACGTCAATTAATGTTTACTGAGCAAAGTTAAATTTTGCAAAGTGCCCTTAAACAGTGATTATCTTGGAAACGGAGAACTTTAGAGAAGATTGGTAGGTATACCAAATTTATGGAAAAATGTCTAAGAAACAGTTTCAAGTTGTGCGAGTTGTACAAATTTTAACGATGAAAAAGATATGACTAACTTTAAGGAAGTTTTTTAAGGCAGGCTGCGCCATCTGAAAGATAAATCAAAACTAATACCAAATTATTATTTATCGTCTTAAAAAATGATAATGTACCAATGTTCATAATGTAAAAGAAAACGAAATTATTAAAGAAAAACGAAAATAAAGTATTAACTTTAACCATCTGTATCTTCGTTATTATTAACGATAAATTGGGTTAAATCGTAATAATTTAATGTAAGGAATTCACTGTTGCTCTGTGTCCCATTAGTGATGGACCAGCCTGTATAAATCTTTTTTAATTCTCATGAGGTCTTCCCGCTAATAATTAAATCAAATGCTTTCCTCTTCAATTCATTAATATCTTATTCAAATTTTATTTATTTTATAATTATATTAGTATGGAAGTAAATTGAAGAGAAAAACATGATTTTTTTAATTAAATATATTTGTGTAACGTTTTACATTAGTAAAGTATTTTACATAACAGAATTTGATCGTGAATTCGGATTATGTATATAATAGACAATATCGTCTAACAACTTACATTCATAAATCAAAATTATTTGATTGCATATGAATACAATAGACAAAATCGTCTAAAACTTACATGGACATTAACTGGTTTGTTCTTTTTTCGAATCGGAAAACGATTCCTTTTATAATAAGAATCGTCCGGAGATTCAGTTACCAATTTATTCATATAAGCATTCCTATCCGAAAGTGGTACCAAATTCTTACTATAATTTCCCATTTTCAACTTGTATTGATCGTTTGCACACGCCGCATAAAATTGTTGTTTAATTAATTTTGGTTGTAAAGTTGCACCACAAGTGTAACGTTGTTTAGTTGCAGAATCTTGTTGAGATATTTTGTTATTATTCTTCATTTCGTGCTTTAGTTCTGTAGAACTTTTGCATAAATCTTCGTACCAGTCCGCAAAGATCTGCTCAAATTCCTTATCTCTTCGAGAGGCAGTCATCTCCAATTCATCGTTGTTATAGGAGGCTTCGCTTACGTCGACGTCACAATTGATTTGCTTCATTGAAGCTTCCGGAGACCCAGCCATTTCGGCGATTGTGTTTTCCTCAATTCTGGCGTTCATCAGCTCGAGCATATTGTCATAGGGCCCGACCATCTGGGTGATATGTTCATATTTTCGCGACACATGCCTCTTAATTCTCACACTCTGATTGATTAATTCGAGAATGGTCTTCCCTGCTGCGCACGTAATGTATTTACCACTCAGAAACAGAAATTTTACGATCAAATCCATGTTCTAAAATTTTTATGCATTTGCCAAAAGTTGACACATTATTAAAAGTGCACTCTAGATGCACTTTTTTCTTACAACGACCATATTTATTTTGTTTATGACAACAACCATTTCCATAACAATCATTTTTTTTTCAAAATTTCAATTTATAACGCCAACTTCTAATTTCGTAATTAATCAAAAACCAGACTTGATTTCTATATTTCATCTTAATCTTTTTCAGTAATTTTAGTTATTAATAAATTAATAAAAATTTTTGACATCTTCAAAATAAGTCGACAAAATGAAACAAATACCAATATTTTTCACAATTCCTAAGGGTTCTTATTTCTATTTTTTCCAATGGAAGTGCTGATAACTAAAATAGTGTGACACCGAATTCGTCTGACATTTACACGAAGTGTCAAGTCAAAATTTATTACAATTCCTAGAGCAGAAAGGTTAGTTGTTAAATATTTATAAAATTATTTCATAAAATACATATGCAAAAATGTTTCACATATAGTCAATAATGTAGAAAAGTCTGGATATACAACACATATCCTATATTTTAATCTATTTAATTTTATCTTGACAAAGGTTGCTGTACTTCTCACCGTAAAGTTCTTCAAGGAATTCAAAAATGTACTACAATTTTATGGGATTTGGTGTTAACAAAATATTTTTTTTCTCGAGAACAATCCTTATTAACAATTGTTAATAAAAGTACTTTTTTTCGATGAAAAATGAGGCTTATTTAAAATGAATGATATTATTTGGGATACCAGAAAAACTCGTACGACTAGCCCAAAAGATTCCAAATGAAGCAAGGCCTGAGACAGGGTGATTCTGTCATGCTTACTCCTTAATTACGCACTGAAAAAGGTAATCCGAAAAATTGGATTCAGAGAGGGCGGGGGCACGATCTTTTATAGATCTAAAAAACTACGATACTCCGATGATAACGATATTATGGATCACCGTAAAAGAGACGTGGAGGAATGTTTCATCGCACAGGAATAAGTTGCAAAGAAAATCGGCATGACTGTTAACTAGGAGCAGTCAAACAACCCTTCTTTAAACTAATTAATAGTTTGTGTACCTTGGATATTTCGTGAACACTATTAACAAAAACAGGGATGAAATCATACGACGCATCAATGTCAGGGCGTTTGTGTGGTCTTCAGAGGCACTTCCGCTCACAAACCCTCACTCGCAGGACAAAGATAACATGTACAGTAAAATTCCCCTAACTCGAGTCACTAAGGGAGCGGAAGAAAACTTCGAGTTATGGAGAATTCGAATTAGAGAAAAATTAGTAGAATTTCACCACTAAAGAAAAAAATTAGAAATGTACTTTTCTAATACGTATACTTAAAACAGAAACCTTAATACTATTGTAAGTAGAAAATTAATCAAGTTTTCTAAAGTAATCCGTAATTTTCTTTTGTGTTAAAGTAGACAAGCGCTCTGTCGAACGAATCTTCTATTAAATGTAAAGAATTATGAATATTATCTGGAACATTCTCTCTTGATAATACAAAGGTTTCAAGTTTTCTAACATAAGAGAGGAATAAGCTTCATCAAATGTAGGCACAGCGATAAGTATTTCATTTTCAAGATCTAATGGTTCTAGTTCTAGTATTAGTTCTACATTTAGTTTCATAAATATACAACAACCTAGCGCTGAATAACTATAAAACTAGAACTAACACTAGACCTAGAACTAGAAACATTCGTGCGTCTGAAGACGCACGGCTAAACCCGAAACTTTCTAGTTCTAGGTCTAGTGTTAGTTCTAGTTTTACATCAGAACTAACACTATACCTAAAACTAGAATCATTCGTGTTTAACCATCTTTAGAGACGTGCGGCTAAACCCAAATGATTCTAGTTCTAGGTATAGTGTTAGTTCTAGTTTTACACTAGCACTGTTACTTTGGGTTTAGCCGTCTTTAGAGACGTGCGGCTAAACCCAAATGATTCTAGTTCTAGGTATAGTGTTAGTTCTACATGGTAACAGTGCTAGTGTAAAACTAGAACTAACACTAGATGTAGAACTAGAAACATTCGGGTTTAGCCGTCTTAAGACACGTACAGCTAACTCAAATGTTTCTAGTTCTAGATCTAGTGTTAGTTCTAGTTTTACACTAGCACTGTTACTTTGTAGAACTATTAATACCAAAACTTAAAAATATTTTGTTCACATTCATATTCATAAGGACGTAAAATGAAAATAAAAACAGAATAATGGTAAACACCGCTGATCAATTTGACAGTCGTTAAACGTAAACAACGTAAACAAACCACATGCGCGTTGCGCGTAATACCCATAGTATTACCAACCATTGGAATAACTATTCTGGCATAAGAAAGGCTTTATAAGACGCATTCGTTAAATTAATGCCGAGAATAAATTATTCTGGGAATAACTATTGTTATACCAACACTTGTAAGATCGGCCCTTAGAGAGACAAAAACACATTGGAAACCTAGTCAAACGCTTGAGCTTACGAAAATTATTCAACTTAGGCTCGTTACTACCATCTTCTGGTTAAGGTATCTAAGGGATTATTACCACGGTTACGGCTATTTTACGTGCTATGATTGGCTAGTAGATGGGTTTATCTATAAGATAAATTTAACTAAAAGATGGTAGTAATGGACCTTAGGCTCGTTACTACCATCTTCTGGTTAAGCTATCTAAGGGATTATTACTATGGTTACGGCTATTTTACGCGCTCTGATTGGCTAGTAAATGGGTTTATCTATAAGATAAATTTATCTAAAAGATGGTAGTAATGGACCTAAGACTCGTTACTACCATATTCTGGTTAAGCTATCTAAGGGATTATTACCACGGTTACGGCTATTTTATGCGCGCTGATTGGCTAGTAGATGAGACTATCTATAAGATAAATTTAACAAAAAGATGGTAGTAATGGACCTTAGAAGATAATTCGTGATATAGAAGTTCGAGTTAGCGTAATTTCACTGTATATTGTTATCTTTGTCTTTATAGACGCTAGTGAAGCCGGTTCTAATATACGGAGCGGAGATGTAGACATTAAGCAAAAACGGTAAACGACGATCTTTGAACGTAAGATCAGAAAGAGTTTCGGACTCGTGATCGAACAGGGAGTGCCGCAAAAGATATAATATTGAGCTATATCGGATTTACGAGTACCCCGATATGGTTAAAACCATAAGGATAAGTTGCTTGAGATGGACAGGTTATATGTAAGAAAATCACGACAGGTAAACCGGAGGGAAGAAGAAATAGTTGGTCACGTTATTCCAGTAGTATTCCAGTCCAGTAATCGAAACCGGGAATTCCACTGGAATAATGTGAAGTGGCACTCATACACTAATAATGTGGCAGTCACTGGAATAGTGTAGACGGCCAATCCAGTATTGGATACGTTGAACAGTGAACACATATAGTTGTTTTTTTGGGAACACATTGTTGTAGTTTCATAATTTCATAATAAAGTTAACTAAAAACCAAACTCTTCAGTTTGTTTCTTCATACAGAGAACAAGTGTGTTTGTGGGATATATCATCGGAATTTTATAAAAACAAAGACATGCACCAATCCGCTCTGAATAAAATTAATTCTTCTAAGGACATGCAAATAGAAGGTTTCACAGTAGAGAATTTGCAAAATAAAACAAAAAGTATGCGATCTACATATTACCTTGAACTAGATAAGATTAAAAAATCACCTACGTTTGGTGCTAATGGTGATGTTTACCAGCCGAAGATAAAATGGTTTGCAGAGTTCAATTCATTTATAAGAAATGAATTGGTGAAAAGAATAGTACAGGTATGTATTTTTTGAATTATTATTTATTTAGAATGATAAAATGAATTCTCGTTTACAAACAGTGACGGTAAAATGTACCTACTTTTTAATGAATCATATAATTTGGTCACTTTACATTCTCTTCGTTCATAAAATAATTAGTAATGTCTCTTGCATTTAACGATGAATTTTTAGTGCATTGCTGCGTGATACTATTTAAAGCGTTATTTCTCCACGTACCTTTAATAATCGCTTATATGTATAATCGCGACCAACAGAATAAGTATGGCTAAGATTTGTTCCAAAAACATAGTTTTTACGTATATTCAAAATAAAAGGTTAGTTTGGCCTAAAACGATGATCTTTATTATATTAATTTTCAGTGCGACATACAGTGCTAGCGTCAAGTACCCCCCCCCCCCTTTTTAACTTCCGAACAGATTGAGATAACAATATGAGCAAAAAACGTCAGGTTCTATATTTTATCAGCACAAATATTTTCTTATGGAAAATTTTGCTATCACTTTTAGTTTTTCCGGAAAATGGATCCACTTTGTTTTTTTAAATGGAACACCCAGTATAGTATGGTATCTTCCGAAAGATGAAACCAATACGAATCCAATGGTACCTCACAATTAAATATTGGTTTATTAGTTTTTCGCATAAAAATTAAACAAAATGCGGAATTTCACCGGAAAAACCAACGTATCTTCGTCGACTACCTGTCGAAATGCAATCGGTCTACGCTCGGGTTAAGCAGGGTTAAAATCGGCAATTCTTTTAGAATGTTTTTATGAAACAATCATTGCAAGGAAAGGATAAAAAGAAAGTTCTTCTTAAAACTTCTAAGAAAAAATTGTTATAACAACAATTTTAAAGTTTGTAGGTACCTTGAAACTTTGTGTTTAAAGCACCATGCAAATATTGTCCTTCATTTCTATCTTGGAATTCTACCCGACCAAGTATAACCAAAGAAAGGCGAGATCAAAATGACTAGAAGGAGTTTAGAGCACAAAATCAGAGGAATTTTAATATTCGCTCGTGCTGACAGAAATGTACATGAAACAGAGCGACAATTTAATGAACGATTTCCTGAACATCCAATTAGTCGAAAATATTTAAGAGAACTTGTAAATAAGTTTTTGGAAACTGGAGGCGTCGAAGACCGCAAAAGAACTGATCGTCGTTCGATTTCTGAAGACACACAAGTACAGATCTTATCAGAAGTAGTTAATGTGTGCATGATGTCGTCTGCTGCTATCGCATCAACGTGTGATGTGGGTCCAACAACGGCGGGGAAATATTTTTAGATTTGTTTCAGTGATGAATGTACTTTCTTTTTGGATGAAAAATTGCATCGGCAAAATGTACGTTACTAGAGTGATTTTAACCCACATGAATATCGTGAAGTTAACACTCAATTTTCCAAGAAAATAAATGTTTGGACAGGCATATTGGGAAATTACATCGTGGGACCAATATTCCTAACCGAAAATTAGACCGGAATTGTATTTAAGATTATTAGAAGAAGATATTAATCCAAGTCTTTTGCAAATTGTACACCAGAATCCTGACGATTTTGAAATGGCTCCTCCACATTATACGCCAATGGTACGAAATTATCTTAATACAAATTTTAATGGACGGTGGATCGGTCGACGTGAGCCGATTGAATGGCCAGCAAGATCACCAGATCTGACACCTTTAGATTTCTTTTTATGGGGTTATTTAAAATCCAAGGTATATGAAATTTCGCTGGACAGTATTGAGGATTTAAAACAAAAAATTATTGACGACTGCCAAAATATTGATCATCACATGTTAAGCCGTGTGAGAGAGGAAACACTACAAAAATGTTTTTTCTTAATAAATAAAAAATAAAAAATTTGTATTAAGATAATTTCGTACCATTGGCGTATAATGTGGAGGAGCCATTTCAAAATCGTCAGGATTCTGGTGTACAATTTGCAAAATACTTGGATTAATATCTTCTTCTAATAATCTTAAATACAATTCCGGTCTAATTTTCGGTTAGGAATATTGGTCCCACGATGTAATTTCCCAATATGCCTGTCCAAACATTTATTTTTTTGGAAAATTGAGTGTTAACTTCACGATATTCATGTGGGTTAAAATCACTCTAGTAACGTACATTTTGCCGATGCAATTTTTCATCCAAAAAGAAAGTACATTCATCACTGAAACAAATCTAAAAATATTTCCCCGCCGTTGTTGGACCCACATCACACGTTGATGCGATAGCAGCAGACGACATCATGCACACATTAACTACTTCTGATAAGATCTGTACTTGTGTGTCTTCAGAAATCGAACGACGACCAGTTCTTTTGCGGTCTTCGACGCCTCCAGTTTCCAAAAACTTATTTACAAGTTCTCTTAAATATTTTCGACTAATTGGATGTTCAGGAAATCGTTCATTAAATTGTCGCTCTGTTTCATGTACATTTCTGTCAGCACGAGCGAATATTAAAATTCCTCTGATTTTGTGCTCTAAACTCCTTCTAGTCATTTTGATCTCGCCTTTCTTTGGTTATACTTGGTCGGGTAGAATTCCAAGATAGAAATGAAGGACAATATTTGCATGGTGCTTTAAATACAAAGTTTCAAGGTACCTACAAACTTTAAAATTGTTGTTATGACAATTTTTTCTTAGAAGTTTTAAGAAGAACTTTCTTTTTATCCTTTCCTTGCATTGATTGTTTCATAAAAACATTCTAAAAGAATTGCCGATTTTAACCCTGCTTAACCCGAGCGTAGACCGACCTTTAACTGACCGTCCACCATTTATCTGGCCCATTGTATCTCGACAGGTAGTCAACGAAGATACGTTGGTTTTTCCGGCGAAATTTCGCATTTTGTTTAATATTTATGTAAAAAACTAATAAACCGATATTTGATTGTGAGGTATCTTTGGTTTCGTATTGTTTTATTCTTTCGGAAGATACCATAATATACTGGGTGTTCCATTTAAAAAAACAAAGTTGATCCACTTTCCGGAAAAACTAAAAGTGATAGCAAAATTTTCCATAAGAAAATATTTGTGCTGATAAAATATAGAAACTGACGTTTTTTTGCTCATATTGATATCTCAATCTGTTCAGAAGCTAAACGGGGGGGGGGGGGGGTTACTTTACGCTAGCGTTGTTCTCGACATATTCTTATTCAAGTATTGTTGCAAAACGTTGGTAAATTATTTCAAAAATATTGTAGGTAATTTCGTGTTGTGTATTTCGTTATTTTTTATATATTGTTCCAAAAATCTTAAGTAGTACTCCATTCAGCTTCAATATTTCATACAACTTAAAAGGTTTATTTAATGAAATTGGATTTAATAAGTTATTGCTAATTGTCGTCCACGTTATTCATAACCTCAAAACAAAAAGTGTAGGCCAAAATTCTCTTTCTTAAAAAAGTCATCGAATTATATCAAAATAAAGCCGAAAGCTGAAAATTGTATTCTTGAATTTAGATGAAAATTAAATGAATATTATTAAATTAAAACTTAAATTTGGAATTTTGAGTTACTCCATTATGTTCAGATGACTTGAGTGGACAGTCCACTCAAGTCATCGTTTTAGGCCAAACTAGCCTTTTATTTTGAACAGAGTAAGTAGTCAGATAAGCGCTCGACATTTTTCGTAATAATAATAATTTCGTTGTAATAAAATCAAAATTTTATTTTCAGGAGAACACCGAAACTCAATCTGAGGACCGTGCTGATGAATCCCCCTGCTCAAAAAGTTCCACATCACAACCTCTTCCTCCTGCTACAGAAACTTCTATACTACAACCGTGAAAAAATCCAGATTAGCACAGTTGCCTTCCATTGTCAGCGACATGACGGAGCTCAAAAATGACTTTTCCAAACCAGAAAGAGAAGAAGATAAATTTTAAATCTTTGGAAGATACCGTAAAACGAGGTTACTTTGGCAGGTTTTGATCTATTTTGGTACGCTAAGCCACAAACCGCTAGGAAAATTAAAATTTTAAAAATTGCATCCTGCCTTGTGTATAATTGACAGTAGATCATCCTAACATGGTATGAGTTTATCAACCCATATCGGAGAAAAAACTCTTTTTATGGGGTGCCAAAGTAGGCAGAAATGTGGGGTTACTTTGGCAGTATATAAAATCCTATTTGTTTCAAAAATTTTCTGATATAAGGGTACTAAAATTTTATGTCATCGTAAAGAGAAAAAAATCTCTATCAAATAAGCCTAACAAAAGGGTACATTGCCATTTAAAAACTTCAAGTGTTATTCGTTGCTCATTTGTTTTCTGAAATAAAAACAGTTGAATGCTGTCTTATTATGGCAAATAAAATATTAAACAACTTTTGTATAAAATGTTTTTTTATAATTGAACTAAAATTAGAACTAAAACTAGAAACTTTCGGGTTTTGCCGTGCGTCTTTTAAGAAAAGGTTTGACGTTTCGGATGTTGCAACCTTCTTCAGAAACTGGTTCGAAGTGAGTTTTTTTATAAAGTTGATATTTTCCAAGATATGTACTATATCCATAATAGGCACTCGTATAATACTTGTTGATGTAAATTTTTTAGGGTTTCTGTTGGTATTATCTAGGACCCTTATAAAATTTATGTTGTTTTCGTGATTTTTAGTAACATTTTCAGTAACTAAATAGTTGAGGTTCAAATACTAATAAATTTTTAGATAAATACGGTTTTAACGAAGTACATATTTGTTGTAAAAACGTGCTACAAAGTAATTAAATAGAACTAAATACCTTTTCTAGGTAAATAAATGGCAAATAAATACCCCACAACATTTTTTATGCACCTTTTCTTTTTGAATAACGAAAGCTCGAACGTTAGTGTGACATACATATTTAGTTCAAAACATGATAAAACAAAAGTCCCGGTTAATTTTGCCAACTTTACAACAATTTGACAGGTATTATAGAAAAAAAATGAACTATAGACTATAGGTACATGTCCATTATCATAAGATGTTGCCAATAATTAAACAAGTGATTTTCTTCAAATAAAAACGATTTTGATATCGATCACTAAAATGGAGTGACAGTGATTGAGCAGCCCGAGGCTAATAGATAAGGGCTGCTAATGCATTTCTGCACGTGTGACACACAACTGTTTTTCGCCTCCCATTAAACCAAACAAAATTGCAAAAATATAAAATAAAACTAATTTTATAAAGCAATTAATTTTATGATTTCAACTGACGTTTTATGAAAAATTATGAGAAACGTCAAAAATGTCCGCAAATGTCAATGAAGACTTACTAGATTGTGATGAAAAACTATAAAGTAGAGCCGTTCAGAGTTTAGAATCCCAAGGGCCGAAAATCTAGCTTTCAGTTATTTTTTTAGGGCTGATATAATTTACTTTCAGGTATGGGAGGCGAAAAAACTTTTATAGTACGTAAATTTGAAATTTTTGTAATTATTCTCCTTATGATTCCAACAGGGATTTTTTATTTTTAAGTTTTTTGACTATTTCTATTTTACTTCAATAAGGAATAACTGTAACATATAACAAATTTTACACAACAAAAAATTGAATCATATAATATATTATTAGTAAGCAGTTTCAATAATAAATGAAAGTTATGTATAAGTTACAAATATTTAATAATAATCTAGGGAATTGTATTCCTCAGCTTTTCCACGTATCTCAATGTAACTGACAATGACAGATCAACAATGAAACATAACCTCACTTATTTCTGTTAATTAAAGAAAAATATTAAATATCTCGTTATGTCGGGCGAAAAAAACGATTTATTAGATTTATTATTTTCAGAAGAATATCCAGGTATGTATTTATACTCCTTTTATCTCACTTAAAATAGTTCGTTACTAAAAAATCAATTTTATAGAAGAATGGAATTACAATGTTACATTCAAAGATTACATTACAAAAGTAGGTACATATACAATAGAAGAATTGGTTAAAGAACCCAATAAATTAAGAGATGAGCAATCAAGTATAGTAGAAATAACTCAAGAACTTGCGATAACCAATTACAAAACATTTATTCAAACCGCTGAGTGTTCGAAAGATCTTTTTAATCGTTTTAATACTATAGAAAATGATTTGGAAAAACTATTAGAAAATGTGCCTAACTTTGAAGATAAATGTAAAAATTTTGTTGAAGAAACAAATGGAATAAATGCAATGAGAAAATTAAATACTTTAACATTAACGAGAAATGCGCAATTATTAGAGATTTTAGAACTTCCGCAATTGATGGATTCATTTATTAAAGATAGTTTGTATGAAAATGCATTAGAATTAGCTTCATATGTAAGGAGGTTGTACGGAAAACACTCAGATATCCCAATATTTAAAAGTATTTTAAATGATGTTGAGAAATCTTGGTTATTAATGTTACATCAACTTCTTGGACAGTTAAGATCTGATTTGACACTTCCAAAAAGTTTGCAAATTGTTGGGTACTTACGAAGGATGGAGATTTTTACAGAAGCTGAATTACGATTGAAATTTTTACAAACGAGAGATACTTGGTTTAAAAATTGTTTAAATTCAATTCCAAAAGAAGATGGTAACTTTTAATTATTAATAAAAAATCTATTTTTTTAAATTTTATCTTTTTAGCTGGACATCATTTAAATAAAACTATTGAAATGACGAGAGTTAATTTATTTACGATAATAACTCAATATCGAGCTATTTTTAATGATGAAGATGTTGGACCAATTCAAAAAACGAAACATGTTAACCAAAATACTATATTTTTCAGTTGGATTCGAAACAAAATAATAAATTTTCTTCAAACTTTAGAAGCGGATTTAAATTCTGGAATATCCTCAACTGATTCAATTTTACATCAATGCATGTATTTTGGGTTATCTTTCAGTAAAGTTGGTTGCGATTTTCGCCCGATGATGGTTAAAATTTTTCATAAAGTTATTTTAAATAATTTTTCACAATCAATAATAAAAGCAACGAAATCATTTGAGAAAAACATGGAGCGTTTTACGTTGATTAATAAAAATTATCCAAGTGTTCCATGGAAAACTAACACCAAAAATAATCAAGACCAAATACAACCCCCTGACTCTTTAATTGAGTTTTATCCATTAGCAGAATATTTAAATCAAATTTTAACATCTTTTAATGAACTACGTCTTTGTCCGCCAGTTACAATTGTAAATGATATTGTTTTGTGTTTACAAAGTTCTTTATTAGTCGTTTGCCGAGCGATTTTGATTCTTTATAAGCAAGAAAAGCAGGCGTTTAATGCGAACTCAAACGACTCTTTTACGCGTTTATGTATGTGTTTTGCGGATGATTTGGTTCCTTATTTACAAAAATGTATTCATGTTATTTACCCGATAAATCTTGTTGCTTCACATGCCGGTATAGGAGTTCAAAAATTACAAAAGGTTAATTTAACTTTTTTGAATCGCGGTGAAATTATCGATCCAATTAAACACTTATTACCCGTTAAAATAGAACCTGTATTAAATAATAATAACAGTACCCTTGAAAAAGAAAATGATATAAGTTGTAAAAAAGGAGATATTGAAAGTGAAGAAAATGAAAGTTTTGATAATGTGGAACATGTAAAATAAATCTGTTGATACATATTTTTTTTTGTTGTAAATATGTTAATTGTATTTATGTATTGATAAGCTTTAATAAATTTTTTACATGATTGTAAATAAATGAGTTGTAAATAGAGAAACATTTTTTTTTTAAGTAGGTCTAATAAAATAAAGTGGAAAAGAAAGAAATCGATAAAGAAAAGAAATCAACGGAGTAGTTATTGATGATGTATCTTAAGGTGACCAATTATACTCATTTACTGAGTTTTGTACTCTTTTTTCGCAAACCGTACTCTTTTCAAATCCTGTACTCTGAAAGCACTCATTTGTATAATTTTATACGTAATCCCCAGGCTGATCTTTGATGTGCAGTATGTACGGCATGCTTGACAGTCTTGACGCATGCGTAGTATGTACGGCAAAGTTTTATGGGAATTCCCTTTCTGTTTAATTAATTTGAGGTTAGAGAAAACCAACAATTTCGTACTGTTTGTTCAAGTTAACAAGATTTGAGGTGTACAAAATAAAATAAAATTTTATTTTATTTATCTAGTGAAGGTGAAGTTGCATGTAAGTATTAATATTATAGTTTCATTTTCATTTTACTTAAATAATATCAGATTATAATATTGATTTAAAATCAAAATAAAAAATATATTACTAATATAATTTTTAGATTATTAATTCAAATATGTGCGATAATAAAAGATGGAAAAATCGTTTAAACGAAAATTTAAAAAAAGAGTTTCCGTTCATTGTAGTTAAAAATCGAAATGATGACTCCTAAATGCACAATCTGTAATAGGGAATTTTCAATTGCAATTTATGGACGTAGTGCAATAACGGCACACATTGAAATTAAAGTACATAAAACGTCTCATGACACAGCAGCGTCAACATCCAAACTGACAACATTTTTTAAAGGGAATACTTTTGGAACTAATGAAAAAAATTGGCAGTTATGGAGGGTAAAATATGATGTAGGTAAAAGTAAAAACTTTTTGAGAAACACTAAAATGTTTAATTCAATTCAAGCTGACATGTTTCGAAACTAATGTTTCATCTTCAGTACTTAGAATATTATACAAAGTAATGGAAAAATATTTTGTTAGTAGGTGGGGTTTAGGAGTGGATCTAAATTTCTTTCAACTTAATTTACATACAAAAAATTATTTGAACAAAATATAAATATTCAATATTTTAGTTAAATCTTGGAAGGAATTTTCTTGTGCGCGAACAAAATGTGAGTCTATCGTAACCAGCATATTTAATGAATACTGCAAGAAAATGCTATCAGAAAATCTCGATTCTGTATCATATTTATTCATTCTATCAGACGCATCGAATCACAATGAAATAAAACTTTATCCAATTTTAGTAAGGTATTTCGATATTAAGAACGGTATTCAAATTAAGATTTTAAATTTGGAATCAATCGAAGGGAAAACATCAGACATTTTGTCTAATCACTTATTTCGAGTTATAACAGACAACAATTTGAATAAGAAAATTTTGGCGCTCTCGGCTGATAACACAAATACTAATTTTGGAGGACGCACCCGTAAAGGTATCAATAATGTGTACACAAAATTACAAGATCTTCTGAAACGAAACATTTTGGGAATTGGTTGTAATGCTCACATTATATCAAATGCCATCAACAGCATCACGTTCAGTGTCAATAGATGTGGAAGTAATTATTACAAATATATATTTATATTTCAATCGGTTTACAGTACGGGTAGCAAGTTTGAAAGAATTTTGTGAAGAGGCTGGTGTTCAATACAAAAAACTGCTTGGTTATTCCAAAGTCAGATGGCTTGCTTTAACTCCAGCATTAGAACGCGTTTTGCATTTATATGATCCACTACATTCATATTTTTTAAGCCTTGACAAATGTCCTACAATTTAGAAGAAATTCTTTCAAAACGATATGTCAGAACCTATGCTTTATTTTATTCACAGTCAAGCGTCGTTGTTTCATAAAATTACTCTACAAATTGAAGGAGATAAAATTTCAGCAGCAGAAGTTTGTATTATATTAAACGATTTCATACTGCAATGTAAATCAAGATTTAATGATGGATTTTTACCACTAATTCTAAAGAATAAACTGACTGTTTTGGAAGATTCCAATTCCGGAATAAAAAATGAATTTTTAAAAGATTTTTTTATACAATTTGCTATGAATTATCGACGAATTGATAGTGAACTTTAGAGCATTAAATTGTTTGAAATTATAGTAAAATTGAATGGAAAGAAGTTTCTTTGGCAGTCTAATTTGTAATGAAGGAAGTAAAAGATATTGTTATTAATGACAATTTTCTCTTTGAAGAAATTCGAAGAGTAAATTTATATTTAAATGAAGAAATGGAACGATGAGAAAATAGAACTTGACAAAAGATGTGTAGAAATTTTTCGGCATTTTAGAGTAGAACATATCCCACATGAAAATTTAAAAGTTTTAATAGAAATTTCCTTATGTTGTCCAGGGACTAATGCCGCTGTTGAAAGGGTATTTTCACTAAGGAATGATTATTGGAGCAGTGAGAAGTCGCAACTTTCTGTAAAAACATTATCTGCCGTCTTAACAGTCAAATTTAATATGCAAAATGAAAGTTGTTCGGATGTGGCTACATTATTAGACGAACATCCTCATTTAGCAAAAAAAAATCCACTACTACGAAGAAAAATATGTTTTTAAAAGAAAATAAAGTTTTTATCGTTTTTTCTTCTTTTTTTTTCATCTATGAAATGTTTGCAAAGTGTACTCTTTTTGAACAAAAAATAGTTGGTCACCTTATGTATCTTAGACTTGGAATGGTTTGTTTTATTTCGTTTAAAAGTCGAGATATTTTGTATTCGAGCGATAAAACAATGTTTTAAATTTAAAACAACATCTCATATTAAATGATGAAACTTTCTTTAACCTTTAATCACTGACGTGTCATTTCGTTACACTACCACTGACGTACGAATGAGATTCGTCTATTTCTTTCGAGGTCTGTGAGGCCGTGGTCAATCGTAATTAATGTTTTTATTGATTTTTATGTAATAGAATATTTCAAATCTAAGATGTAAAGATAAAAAAAAACAATAAAAATACTCATATAAAAAATATTTATTAACCAATATTCTTAGCGGTATACAAAAAATATTTAAAAATCAACAAAAAAAAAAACTATACTCTATAGGAACTTTTTGTCATCATTTTTGTATTTAACTAAGAATATTTTCATGAGATCAAAATTACGTTAGCAACTAATCAATTTTTAGGCACTTTTAACGGCAGTTGTTACAGGTGGGTTTTGAACACTGCAAGCAAATCGGCTGACCGCACATTGTACACCCGTAATGGGTTCTACGTCGTTTTTGCTTGAAACATATGTAACAATTCTTCAAAATCTCAAACTTTAAGATTTCAGTGCTTTGTTGATTTGATTCAGTAGGCTTATCTTTCCCCAAAATACGTCCTATAAGACTCTTGAGCTCGTGAGAAAGTTGTGGTATTTCATATCGTCGCTCTAGACGCGTGTGAAGTTGGCCATAGATTTCAGCCATAGATTTTAAACTGAAAAAAATACGTGATCGGGGTATTCAATCGATCTAATTTCAACGGCATCGTATTCATGGTCGCCTCTTATTCAGATTCGAAAGAAAATTTTCCTAACCGTTTCTTATTTTCCGGGAAAATCGATTTTCTTCAAACTTTCGCAAAATTCGGCTCGTTCGGGGCTTTTAATCGATCTAATTGCAACGGCATCGTATTCCTGGTGGCCTCTTGCTTCAGATTCGAAAAGAAAATTTTCCTAACCATTTGTTATTTTCCGGGAAAATCGATTTTCTTCAAACTTTCGCAAAATTCGGCTCTTTCGGGGTTTTTAATCGATTTCATTTCAACGGCATCGTATTCCCGGTCGCCTCTTGCTTCAGATTCGAAAAGAAAATTTTCCTAACCATTTCTTATTTTCCGGGAAAATCGATTTTCTTCAAACTTTCGCAAAATTCGGCTCGTTCGGGGTTTTTAATCGATCTAATTTCAATGGCATCGTATTGCCTATGCCAATTCTTTCATAATATCTAATTATGACAAATCGAAACGTATGGAATTCATGAAAGACCTATGAAGACGATTAGTAACTCCACATCTAGAGCGAACGCGTGTAAAGTTGGCCATAGATTTCAGCCATAGATTTTAAACTGAAAAAAATGCGTGATCGGGGTATTCAATCGATCTAATTTCAACGGCATCGTATTCATGGTTGCCTCTTGCTTCAGATTCGAAAAGAAAATTTTCCTAACCATTTCTTATATTCCGGGAAAATCGCTTTTCTTCAAACAATCGCAAATTTCGGCCTGTTCGGGGTGTCTAATCGATCTAATTTCAATTGCATCGTATATTGTTACGAATATAGGAAATTTATACGAATATAGGAAGTTTAATATAGGAGATGGTTAGAAAAATTTTATTTTCGAATCTGAAGCAAGAGGCGGTCAGGAATACGATGCCGTTGAAATGAAATCGATTAGAAAACCCGAACAGGCCAAAATTTGCAATTGTTTGAAGAAAAACGATTTTCCAGGAATATAAGAAATGGTTAGGAAAATTTTCTTTTTGAATCTGAAGTAAAATGTCACCAGGAATACGATGCAGTTGAAATTAGATCGATTAGAAACACCGAACAGGCCAAAATTTGCGATTGTTTGAAGAAAAATGATTTCCCAGGAATATAAGAAATGGTTAGAGAATGTTCTTTTCGACTCTGCAGCAAGAAGCGACCGGGAATGTAATGCCGTTGAAATGGGATCGATTAGAAACTCCAAACAGCCCGACATTTGCTTATGTTTAAAAAAAATCAATTTTTCCGAAATATAGGAAATGGTTAGGAAAATTTTCTTTTCGAATCTGAAGCAAGAGGCCACCAGGAATACGATGCTGTTGAAATTAGATCGATTAGAAACACCGAACAGGCCAAAATTTGCGATTGTTTGAAGAAAAATGATTTCCCAGGAATATAAGAAATGGTTAGAGAATGTTCTTTTCGACTCTGCAGCAAGAAGCGACCGGGAATGTAATGCCGTTGAAATGGGATCGATTAGAAACTCCAAACAGCCCGACATTTGCTTATGTTTAAA